TTGTGAAGAGGTAGAAGATCTGAAACTTGTCTTGGGATTTTGGACTCATTTTCTGTTCTACAAACCCATGTGTATCCCTTCCTCTACCTCTGCTTTTCCCAAGTACTTTCCACAATAGTGTGATGTTTTGGGTTGTACATTTTGTTAAAAAAATTAAAGAATTTATAAGTTGGCTTGGAAAAGTTTAACTTTATTTTTAATGTGTTAATTATTTGGAATAAATGCATTAATCTCAAGTTTCTGGATTTTTGTTTTGAAACTATACACATTTTGAACTACAAGGAAAACTAGAACAATGAATTCCTGCTGTCATGTTGTCTATCCCCACCTCCATTCACTCTTCCCCAACTTCTCAAGAGCCGCCTCTCATGCCTGAATGTTGCATAGTCTGCCCCAGTACTGCCTGGAGTGAGGAATGGTGGTTTGGTGTAAGCAGCTTCCTACTGTGAATGTGTTTGTATACCTTTGTGTTGGCTTTCCGTAGGCTCTTCTGGGTCAAGGCCCTGCTGAGGAGCTCTTGGGAGACAAGGAGCTCAGTCCTCAAGATTGTCTGATCTCTGTCCCAGTTTCCCTTTGACATCTCTGTTGTCTGCAGTTTGTAACGTGGCTCAACAGAGGCTTCGGATTCCTATTCCCCACCCACTCCTCAAAGACAATGCAAAATTTCTAACCTTTTTTCCCCCTAAGAATTATTTCTTCCCTTTTTCCAATTGTGTACAAAGCCACAGAATTCCTAACTTGTTTGGGAGGCTATTTAATTTTTCTAGAACTTTGATTAAGGACAAATTAGAAGTCATCCTGGTCTCTCCTTCATGTTGTAGAGAACACACAGATTTGGGAGAGCTAAGATCCTTGAATATGCCTCAACCATTTACCTTGCTTTGATTTTGGACAAGTTACTTCACTGGGTCACAGGGATGTTTGGTTTGTTTCCTTATTTAAGATAAAGTTCATTGTTCCCATCTCAGCACCAAATATGTACCAGGTCTTTCTAGGCCTGCTTTTTAGGTTTAAACTTGAAAATCAGCATATTTTTTCCCCAAGAGGAAATTCCCTAGATTCATAATTGTAGCTTAATTATAACTTCTTCAAGAAATGAGTTTTAGCCAAACTCTCAATTGAAGCAATTCTAAAAACTTAAAAATTTTAAAAGTTTTTAGACTTAATGAACCAGAAATTTTTTTTATTCAATGCTCTTTCTGGTCTGGAAACCGTAGACTGACTCAAAAGGTGCCCATAGAGGATCTAGAACAAGGTGAGCTTCAGAGATACTTGTTTACCCAGAGAACTCCTTCCTGTTCCAGGAGGTCATTTTACAGGAATCCAAGGAATATTATAACTCAAGATGCCAGTGTGTACTGATTTTCATGCCTGTTCACTTGGTAATTTCCATCCCTTTGGAGAGACACATTGGGTTTTCTCATGGGGGGCAGGGAATAGGTGGAGGGTTAATTATATCCAGTTGACAGTCCTAACCTCACTTGTTCTTAGAGTCAGAATCTCCTCCAGGTTAAAAGGAGATCGTTTGAAGAGGGGTAGGGAGGGAGGCAAAATCCAGAAAGGACAAAACTAGTTCCAGTAACGGGCTGGGTTACTTTAGTCTAAGCCTTGGTAACAACTACTGGTGTGCTGTCTGGATAACTTTAGAATTTACACCAAAGGTATCTACCAATCTGTTTTTTTTTTTTTTCTTTTTCTACAATAATCATTTCTAAGAGTTGAAGGAATGGCATTCTTCATATCTGCATTGAGCCAGCAGAGGGAGAGCTTTTAGGATTCTATAGTCTGAGCAGGAAGTGTTTCTAGTCTTTTCCTGTTGATCAGTGGGATCTAGCTTTGGAGCCGGTTCAGAAAAGCCCTGTGAAAGGAAAAGGAGAACTCTAACCTGGTATTTACTGTTTGCAGTATTGAGTAAATTTTTAACTTAGAAGATAGACACATGCAAGAAATGGGCCCTGATCTTCACATGTGACATAATATTTTATAACCATGTTCCAGATTTCTGACTATAGGGTACAGTTTTTATTGGCTACCCTCAACTATGAGAACTAATGTCGGCAATTGTGTTTTAATTGGGGCAAGCACCTCATTTTCCTAAGTTTTGCAAGTAATGCCCTAAAATGCCACTTGGCTTTGTGAAGAGAGGCCTCATATTTTATAAGCCATCTTTCTCCTGTTCACAGCTATTCTATTTACAGAACACTCACTCAATATTTCTGCTAAGACTGCTGAGTAATATAGCAAAATATTCCCACTTCCTCCATTGTCCCTTCTTCTTAAAAAAAAAAAAAAGTTACCTAATGTTTTGGTATCAGCTTGATGAAAACTATCATTGCCAAGTTCAAGGACTGAGGAAGAATCAGAAGTGGAATAGAGGATGGATATACAGGACATAGGCATCTAATTAGGACACCAAAATCTTTTTTTTTTTTAAGATTTATTTTTAAATTTATTTGAAAGGCAGAATTACAGAGAGGTAGAAACACAGAGAGGGGGCCAGCACTGTAGCATAGCAAGTTAAAGCTGCCACCTGCAGTGCTGTCATCCCATGTGGGTGCTGGTTCAAGACCTGGCTGCTCCACTTCCGATCCAGCTCTCTGCTATGGCCTGGGAAAGCTGTAGAAGATGGCCCAAGTCCTTGTGCCCCTGCACCTGTGTGGAAGACCCGGAAGAAGCTCCTGGCTTCGGATTGGTGCAGCTCCAGCCATTGCTGCCAGTTGGGGAGTGAACCAGCTGATGGAAGACTTCTCTCTCTCTGCCTCTCCTTCTCTCTGTGTAACTGACTTTCAAATAAATAAATGAATAAATCTTAAAAAAAGATTGTCCATCTGCTGTTCACTCCCCAAATGGCAGCAATGGCCAGGGCAGGGCCAGACGGAAGCTAGGAGCCAAGAGTTTCTTCTGGGTCTCCCATATAGGTTCATGGGCCCAAGCACTTGGGCCATCCTCTGCTGTTTTCCCAGGCACATTAGTAGAGAGCTGGACTGGAAATGGAGCACCTGGGACTCAAACCAGTGCCTATATGGGATGCTGGCACTGCAGGCAGCAGCCTTACCTGCTGTGCCAGCGCTGGCCCCCAATTACACCTTCTTTTTTAAAGTGGAGAAACAGTAAAGAGATATCCTGTAATAGAATTAAATAAAGTATTGTTTTTTAAATTACATGTTCCTGAAAGTTATCCTCACCTTAGCAAACCTTACTTACCAAGCCCAAGATGAGAACCTAGGCTAAGTCTTCATTAATAGCTGCTTATGTGAGAACATTGACAAATGGAAGTAGTTTGGGATTGTGAGTACATTTTTTATTTATTAAGAGTTTAACTTTGCAATAATATTTGTGCAGTTTTAAACTAAATTATGTACATGGTAACAATATTCATTGATCAAGCAGTTCAACTTATAACAAAAATCTCTTAAAGTAATCACCACTATCCGGATTTGCTCTCAACCCATATACACTTAGGAAAACATTCATAAGTATGTGTTGTAGCTCTTAATGTGGTTGTAATTTTATGTTTATGTGTTTCTTTGATTAATGTATCTTCCCCAAGTATAATATTATATAAGCTCTCTGGAGCAGGAAGTCTGTCTTTGCTTACTTTGGTTTTTCATCATTGTATTTATAGTACACAGTTGGCTAGCACATAGAGGGTGCTTAATAAAAATTGTTGAATCAATATGGTAATAGTGGCTGTTTTATTAATGGTTGATAATGCTTAGCAGCTTTTAAGTGGGTGAAAATCATAAGTTACTGACTGTGTTTACTGGGTGCTTAGCGCTCCAGAAGCTAATTGTTCTTTGCTACTTTTCTGGATCTCCACAAAGCACTGTCTACAGTAGTGAGTATACATCAGGGCTGCGAGCAGCTCCCTTCATTGCAGCAAGCATTCTGAAATGGTGGTGCCAGTCCAGGAGGGGTACACACTGCCCCTGCAGTTCTAGAAGAGAAACAATAAAATTTGCAAAAAAGTTTTGGGAGCTCTAATTTTCAGATCGTCTTCTTTTTCCTAGCTAGATTTTATAAGCGTGATAAAGTCAGACTCCAGATCTCTGGTTTAGTTGAAGGAGTAAATCATCACTGTAGCCCACATCTATCTGATCAAAACTAAATCAAGCTCTTGATTTTATATATGGAAGAAAACAAAAATTAACCAACATTATCTTTGGAAGAGCGGTGCTTCCACATTTTTTATCCTCCCTTTGTTTCAACATTCTGACCATGAAAATGTACTCAAAACTAAAATATTTATACACATATAAAACATGTACATATGCACACATAAAACATCCTTATCTGGTGCCGTGGAATTAAGGTCACGGTGTTTTTTTTTTTCCTTTTGTATACTTTTATGTATCAAAAAAAGTGTTTAAGTTGTGTCTTTCCTACTCAGTGTATCCCTGTCATCACTCCTCTTGCTGTTTTCCCCTCCAAACTTCCTAGATTTCTCTTCTCCCATCAATGCTGTACAACAAGCTTTCTTCAAGAATCCTTTCCATTCTTTCTCCCTCTCTCCCTGTCCCCCTGCTCTTGCCCCTGCCTCTGTTGAGCCGGTTGTGCATATCCGTTAAGGCTGTAACAGCACTTGGACATTATATAAATCAAAGCTTTAGTTGAGGTATACAAAAAATATCGCGAAGTCTTTTCTGCATGCAAAGGACAGAAGACAATGTGTTTCACGATGTAGTGACTGAGTGCTTTACCGTCTTTAATTCCTTCTATTTGTGGCAAGAGGGTTTTTCTAGAAAATGGGGAAATTAGTCTGTTTAAAGGAAGGCAGTGAGGAGGATGAAAATAGGGACAGTTACGTAATAGTAGAACAAAAGATAGAGGACGTGGAGAAAGATAGCAAATAAAATTCACCATACTGAGCTGGTGTTTTCTTTCATCTTCTCTCTGATACTGTGTCCCTACTAAAGTTCCCTCTGGCCTTTCTGAAGCCTACCTACTAAGAATGGTTGTGTCACATTGTTACTGACTCACCCACCTGTCTTCCTTTCCAGGACAATTCCAGAATTCTTCAGATTTCTGTAAGGAAAGACTACAGCAGACACCTCTGTTCCAGGGAGGCAGGGATAGAAGTCACAGAGACCGTGGAGACGAGCACCTCTAGGGTCTGACTTTTGGAAGGTAGGTATGGCTGCTGTGACAGGAATGGATTATGAAGAATGCCCTGTTACTTTAGCTGCCAGATTAGGTGAGTGAAAATATATGTGTGTGTGTTTATCTGTATTGTGTATGGAGTGTATATACATAATAAATGTATATATGTGTATTTGCATATCTGCATCTTTGTACCAGTAGAGGAGGAACAAGATAACAATGAAAATAGAAAGTGTGTGTTTTAGACCTGCCAACCCTTGCCTTATTTAGCATTGAATAAATTATCTCTTAAATTTCCATGTCTCATTTTGTGCTATGATACTTGTATTAAAGCTGTGGACTTCAGGTCTGCCCCCTGAAACCCAGTGTCCTCAACAAGGAAAACATGTGCTATCTCAGTTCTAGCCTTTCCTTACTGGTGCATACAAGAATCAAGGTGGGGGCGCCGGATTCTGTCCCGGTTGCCCCTCTTCCAGGCCAGCTCTCTGCTGTGGCCCGGGAAGGCAGAGGAGGATGGCCCAGGTGCTTGGGCCCTGCACCCCATGGGAGACCAGGATAAGTACCTGGCTCCTACCTTCGGATCAGTGCGGTGCGCCGGCCGTGGCGGCCATTGGAGGGTGAACCAACAGCAAAAGGAAGATTTTTCTCTCTGTCTCTCTCTCACTATCCACTCTGCCTGTCAAAAAAAAAAAAGTGAAAGTGGGTGTGTCATTAGTGGAGTGGTTTTTGAGTAAGCAAAGGAGATTCAAGGAACGTGTGTGTGGCAGGGGGAGGGGGAGGGAGAACAGTCACCAATGGGGTGTTTGAAGAATACTGAGATATGAGTGTTAAGGACAGCTGTGTACTAGTTTTCATTTTACTACCTCTACTACACATATTGAAACATCTGGCACACAGAAAGGAACAAGCACCATTTCAAAATATGAAGCAAACTCTTGGCTCTCTGTCCACCTAAAATGCCAGTAAGTACTTCTGTACTGTGGGCTGAGGAACACAATGGGAATGAGAACCAGACCTAGTAAAACTTAGCTGACCTTTAAGTCCTTCAAATTCAGATTAATTTAAATCTGAGTTGCCCCCGTTCTACATTCACCTAGAAAAATATTAGTTTAGTTTTGTTCCTGGAACAAAATTTCTCTCGAATGTTAGAGGCATGGATATCTAGTTTACTTCCCAAATAAATCTATGGCTTTCGTAATTTGGGGGGGGGATAGTTGTGTTAGTACAAATACTGAAAAAAACATGTGTGTAACCAAAGCCATCAGAATATGAAGTAAGTAAAGGGTGAAAGTGCCTCAGCGCCTCCCGCTGCTGCGATCATATCAGTTAAGAACCACTCATTCCTAAGACATGACCCTGTGGATGAAGCAATGGAAAGCAGCCTTGTGCCAGGGCTGCCAACACTTTGTCACCACCACTTTCTCTCCATTGCTCAGCCAAAGATCTGTTTCTCATCAACTGTCACATTCCTCTGCTCAGGGACAATCAGAAATGTTGGTCACAAGCTTTCGTTCCAATCTGTGATTCACAGTCCTACCTCCAGTTTTGCTGCTAGACCCTGCCAGTGGTGTCTGAATTCCACGTCTAAGGTGTACTGATCAAGGGAATGGACGGGGAAATGGAACTTTTTTCTTTTGAATAATTGCTTTTCCTTTGAGCTTTTTAGATTTGATGTGCTAGAGTTCACGTATGTTATGAATGATATATTTAAGGTCTACTTTTTAATTGAAGTATTATATAACATTAAATTTTACATAACAAAATTTTCCATTTTAAAGTGTGCAATTTTGTAGTTTTAATATCTTATACAGTCACCACCACTATCTAATTCTAAAACATTTCCATCACTCCCCCACCACACCCCCAGAACCCACATGCCTATTAGCAGACATTCCTGCTCCCAAGCCACTGTCAGTTACCAATCTACTTTCTGTCTTAATCACTGTACTAGTCTGGTCCGAGTATTTCATGTAAGTGAAGTCATACAGTACGTGATCTTTTGTGTCTGACTTCTTTCACTTAGCATAATGTTCTCAAGGTTCATCTGTATAGTATATCATGTACCACTACTTCATTGTATTTTATGGCTAAATAATATACCATTGTGTGGGTGTATCATGTTTCGTTTATTCATTACTCGATAATGCTTGGGTTATTTCCACTTTAGGGGTATTGTGAGCAATGCTGCTATGAATATTTATATACACATACATATGTGTATATAAATGTGTGTACATATGTATGTGTATATCCATGTGTATAAGTTTATGTGTGTATGTGTATATATAAATATGTAAAATACATATATGCATATAAATATTTGCATGGACATGTGTTTTAAGTCGTCTTGGGTGTATACATAGGAATAGAACTGGGTCATATGATAACTGTTTAGCCTTTTAAAAATAAACCTTTATATTAAACTATAATGTTCATATGAAAAAAACACATCATAAATTTGATGTGCTCAGCTATTTTTATAAAGTAAACACATGTGGGTAACCAGTATCTAAATCCAAAAATAGAATATGACCAACACTCCTAAACTCCCTCTTATGATCTATTACAGTCACTACTTTCCCAAAATGTGACCATTATTCTGACTACTACATCAGGTACTTTAAAAAAATTGAGATGAAATTCACCATAAAATTTCCATCACTCCAAAACAGAACTGTTTTCCCTTAAGCTTTTAGTCCCAGTTCCCACCTCCTATAATCCCTTGGACTCACTAGTCTGCTTTCTGTCCTTCCAGATATTTCATTTAAACAAAATTATATAGTTTGTGACCTTTTGTGTCAATGTATTTTTTACTTAACATAATGTTTTTGAGGTTCATCCATGTAGCACTTATCAATATTAATTCTTTATTATGGCAGAACAATATTTCATTTTACATATAAAACATACTTATCCATTTGTTAATGGGCATTTGAGTTGTTTCCACCATCTGGCTATTGTAAATAGTGCTTCTATGGAGGCACATGTTGTGGCATAGCAGGTAAAGCCACTGCCTCTGATGCCGGCATCCCTTATGGGCATCAGTTCAAGTCCTGGCTCTCTATTAGCAGAGAGCTGGATCGTAAGAGGAGCAGCTTGGATACAAACCAGCACTCATATGGGATGCCAGCGCCACAGGTGAAGCTTGACCTACTACACCACAGCACCAGCCCCTCCTCCACTTCTTTTATTTTTTTTAAGATTTTAATTTATTTATTTGAGAGGTAGAATTATAGACAGTGAGAGGGAGAGACAGAGATAGAGGTCTTCCTTCCCATGGTTCACTCTTCAAATGGCTGCAACGACCGGAGCTGCGCCAATCTGAAGCCAGGAGCCAGGTGCTTCTTCCTGGTCTCCCATGCAGGTGCAGGGGCCCAAGGACTTGGGCCGTCTTCTACTGCTTTCTCAGGCCATAGCAGAGAGCTGGATTGGAAGAGGAGCAGCCAGGACTAGAACTGGCACCCATATGGGATGCTGGCGCTGCAGGCGGAGGATTAACCTACTGCGCCACAGCACCAGCCGCCCCCCTCCACTTCTGACCCAGCTCCCTGTGAATGTGCCTGGATAAGCAGCAGAGGATGGCCCAAGTGCTTATACACCTGCACCCACATGGGAGACCTGGAATAAGCTCCAGGCTCCTGGATTCAAGCTGGCCATCTCTGGCCATTGCAACCATCTGGGAAGCAAGCCAGCAGATGGAAGATATCTCTGTCTCTTCCTGTCTCTGTAACTCTGCCTTTAAGTAAATAAGTCTTTAAAAAAAATATTGGGGCCAGCACTGTGGTGTAGTGGATTAAGCCACCACTTGCAGTGCCAGCATCCCATATAGGCACTGGTTTGAGACCCGGCTGCTCCACTTCTGATCCAGCTCTGCTATGGCTTGGGAAAGTAGAAGATAGCCCGAGTCTTTAGGCCCCTGCACTCATGTGGGAAGAGGATCCTGGCTTCTGGCTTCCGATTGGCGCAGCTTCTGCCATTGCAGCCAGTTGGGGAGTGAACCATCAAATGGAAGACCTCTTTCTCTCTCTGCCACTCCTTCTCTCTCTGTGTAACTCTGAATTTCAAATAAATAAATTTTTTTAAAAAATAGTGCTGTTATACCCATTCAAGTGTAAGTATTGTCTGAGTACCTCTTTTCTATTGTTTTGGTATATACCTAGTAATGGAATTGCTGGGTCATAGGGTTATTCATGTTTCAATTTTGAGAAACTGTCACACACAGTTTTCTACCCCACCTAAATCATTTTACAATCCTACCAGCTATGTATAATGGTTTGATTTTCTACACAACACTTCTTATTTTCCTTTCTTAACATATTAGAGTTATCTTCATATCTCATTGTGGTTTTGATTTCCATTTTTCTAATACCCATGATATTAAACATCTTTTCATGTGCTTATTGGCTACTTATGTATCTTCTTTGGAGGAATGTCTACTCAATTTCTTTTTAAAAAATGTTTTTAATTTATTTGAAAGGCAGAATTACAGAGAGAGAGAGAGCTAGCTCTTCCATCTGCTGATTCCCCAAATGGCTGAAACAGCTGGAGTTGTATGAATCCGAAGCCAGGAGCCAGGGTCTTTATCTGGGTCTCCCATGTGGGTGCAGGGGCCCAAGCACTTGGGCCATCTTTTACTGCTTTCCCAGGCCACAGCAGAGAGCTGGATCGGAAGTGGAGCAGCTGGGACTTGAACAGGTACCCATATGGGATGCCAGCGCTTCAGGCCAGGGTGTTAACCCGCTGTGCCACAGAGCTGGCCCCTTATTTGTTTATTTGAAAGAGTGATAGAGAGGAGGAGGGAGAGGAGGAAGGAGAGAGAGAGAGAAAAAGAAATCCATCTTCCATATACAGGTCACTCCTCAAATGACCACAATGGTCAGGGCTGGGTGAGGCTGAAACCAATAGCATAAAACTCCATGCAGGTCTCTCACCTGGTTGCAGGAGCCCAGGTAGTTGGGCCACCTTCTACTGCTTTTCCCAGGCACATCTTCAGGGAACTAGATCAGAAGCAGAGCAGTATGGACTCAAACTGGCACTCCAATACAGGATGCCAGCTTTGCAAGTGGATACTTAACCCACTGTGCCCCATCTACTTTCTTCATAATATTCTTTGATACACAAAATGTTTTCAATTTTGATAAAGTCTAATTTATCCATTTTTTCACATATCACTCATGGTTTTAGTATCATAAATCTAAGAATCCATTGCCAAATCCAAGATCATGAAGATTTACTTCTATCTTTTCTTCTGTGAGTTTTATAGTTCTAAGAAGCTCTTATATTTAGGTCATTGATTTATTTTGAGTTAATTTTTATATATGGTATGAGGTATTATTCCAGCTTTCTTTTTTTAAAAAATAATATTTATTTATTAATTTGAAAGGCACAGTTACAGAGAGGCAGTGGCAGAGAGAGAGAGACAGAGGTCTTCCATCCGCTGGTTCACTCCCCAAATGGTCACAATGGCTGGAGCTGGGCTGATTCAAAGCCAGGAGCCAGGAGCTTCTTCCGTGTCTTCCCATGTGTGTGCAGGGGCCCAAGCACTTGGGCCATACTCTACTGCTTTCCCAGGCCATAGCAGAGAGCTGCATTGTAAGTGGAGCAGCCAGGACTCAAACTGGTACCCATATGGAATGCCAGCAGCACTGCAGGTAGCAGCTTTACCTGCTATGCCACAGTGCCAGCCCCTCGGCTTCTTTCTTTTGCATGTAGAAATCTAGTTGTCCCAGCATCATTTATTGAAGAAGCTGCTTTTCCCCACTTAATGATCTTGGTACCCTTTTCAAAATCAATTGGCCACAGATATATGGGGTTTATTTCTGGACATTCCATTTAAAAAAAAAAAATTATTGCATTTGAAAGGCAGAGTGATAGGAGAGACAAAGGCCTTCTATGTGCTAGTTCATCCCAATTATTGTAATGGCCAGGGAAGTGCCAGGCTGGATTCAGGAGCCTGGAACTACATCCAGGTCTCCCACATAGTTGGTGGGGGCCCAAGCACTTTGGGCCATCTTCTGCTGCCTTCCCAGGCTCATTAGCAGAGAGCTGGATTGGAAGCAGAGCAGCTAGGACTGGAATTATTACTCCTACATGGGGTGCTGGTACCACTCTTACCATGTTGTGCCATAATGCCAGACCCTGAATATTTCATTCCATTCCACTGGTTTATATTCCTATCCTTATGCCAGACCCATGCTGTTTTTTTTTATTATTATTTATTATTATTATTATTTTTTTTTTGACAGGCAGAGTGGACAGTGAGAGAGAGAGAGACAGAGAGAGAAAGGTCTTCCTTTGCCGTTGGTTCACCCTCCAATGGCCGCCGCTGCAGCCGGCGCACCGCGCTGATCCGATGGCAGGAGCCAGGATCCAGGTGCTTTTCCTGGTCTCCCATGGGGTGCAGGGCCCAAGCACTTGGGCCATCCTCCACTGCACTCCCTGGCCATAGCAGAGAGCTGGCCTGGAAGAGGGGCAACCGGGACAGAATCCGGCACCCCAACCGGGACTAGAACCCGGTGTGCCAGCGCCGCAAGGTGGAGGATTAGCTTATTGAGCCACGGCGCCGGCTGACCCATGCTGTTTTAATCACTGTAGCTTTGTAGTAAGTTTTGAAATTCAGAAGTATGAGTCCAACTTTGTTGTTCAAGATGTTTTTGGCTGTTTGCGACCCATTGAGATTTCATACGATTTCAGGATTGCCTTTTCCATTTCTGCAAAAATACCTTGAAATTTTTGACAGATTGCACTGAGTCTGTAGATTAGCTTGAATAATATTGCCATATTAATATTATTCATATCCATGACTATAAGATGCCTTTCCATTTGATTAGATCTTCTTTGATGACTTATTTGGTAGTACATATGTCTTTCACCTCTTTCATTAAATTTAATTCTAGACTTTTTATTCTTTTTATGCCATTATAATTTGAATTAGTTTTTTTTTTTAGGATTTTATTAATTATTTGAGAGGTAAAGTTACAGAGAGAGAGAAAGAGACAAAAGAGAAAGGTCCTCCATCTGCTGGTTCACTCCCCAAATGGCTGCAACAGCGGAGCTGAACTGATCCGATCCGAAGCCAGGAGCCAGGAGCCTCCTCCAGGTCTCCCATGGCGGGTGCAGGGACCCAAGCACACGGGCTATTTTCAACTGCTTTCCCAGGCCATAGCAGAGAGCTGGATCAGAAGAGGAGCAGCTCGGACTTGAACTGGCGCTCATGTGGGACAACAGCACCACAGGCAGAGGCTTAGTCCACTATACCACAGCACCAGCCCCTTGAATTGTTTTCTTAATTTTCTTTGAGATTATTTATTGCAGGCATATAGAAACAACTGATTTTTGTTTATGAATCTTGTACTTTGCAACTTTGCTGAAGTCAAACAGGAGCTTCATAGGTTTTCAAATTATAGTCTTTTATAATCCTTGGTATTTCTGAAAGGTTAGTAGTAATAATAATAATCACTTTCATTTCTGATTTTAGTTTTTACACGTTCTCTCTTTTTCTTAGTCTCTTTTTATTAGTCTGTCTAAAGCTTTCAAGTATTGGTCATTGATTCTGTTTTTCTATTTTCTATTTCATGAGCTTCATTCGGGGCTACCACTTACTTTGCAACTTTGTTGAAGTCAGGAGCTCCATCTGAGTCTCCCGCAAGGGTGCAGGAGCCCAAGGACTTGGGACATCTTCCACTACTAGTGAAATATCCTCACTTTCATTTCTGATTTCAGTTTTATTTTCATGTTCTCTCTTTTTCTTAGTCTATCTAAAGGTTTCAAATCTTGACATTTGGTTCTATTTTTCTGTTCTCTATTTTATTTGTCTCTGATCTAGTCTTTACTATTTCCTCCTGCTAGCTTTTGGTTCGGTTTGCACTTCTTTTTCTCTTTCCTCAAGGTGTAAATTTAGGCTGTTGATTTGAGATCTTGCTTTGTAAAAATTGTTTAAGGTTTATTTATTGGGGCTGGTGCTGTGGCACAGCAGGTCAAAGCCCCTAGCCTCTAACACCAGCATCCCATGTGGGCACCTGTTTGAGTCCCAGCTGCTCCACTTCCGATCCAGCTCTCTGCTATGGCCTGGAAAAACAGTAGAAGATGGCCCAAGTCCATGGGCCTCTGCACCTGTGTGGGAGACCTGGAAGAAGCTCCTGGCTCCTGGCTTTGGATTGGCCTAGCTCCAGCCATTGCAGCCATCTGGTGAGTGAACCAGTGAATGGAAGACCTCTCTCTCTCTTTCTCTCTCTCTCTCTCTCTGCCTCTGCCTCTGCCTCTGCCTCTGCCTCTCTGTAACTCTGCCTTTCAAATGAATAAAGAAATCTTTTTTTTTTTTAAGTACATGTTATATTAATTAGAACCCTTTTGGTTGTACCACAAACCTAACTTAAACAAGCTTAACAAAAATCAGTGATGGGCTAATGTACAGCTTGGTAACTGGGAAACTGAGGCAGACCTAGATCCAGAAGATCAGAAATGCTCTGTCTTCTAACTTTGCTTGGCTTCATTTTTGAAGGTATTTTCCCTCAGGAGAAAAATAGCTCCTGCAGTCTAAAGCTGCCATGGTTCTTAAAGGTTGCCTTCTAGAAAATGAGTGGATCTTTCCTTATCATACTAGAAAGTCTCAGGGAAGATGCCTGTTAGTCTGATTTGGGCCACATTTCTATTACTGAATAATTACTATGTGCTAGTAGATGAAATACTCAGACCAGGCCCAGGATTTGAGCTTCTAATGGGAAGGAAAGGTGACCCTACTGAACCATGGAGACTGAGTTCAATTAATATAGAATAGAGAGAAATGATGTTTTCCAGAGGAAATCCTTCAAAGTAGAAAGTTCACTCTAAAGCTGCAAAGATTCAGTGTCTTCTCTGTAGACTTTGTTTTGTGACATTTTATCGAGATGTGTGTTTTTTTTTTAAAGATGTATTTATGGCCAGCGCCACGGCTCAATAGGCTAATCCTCCACCTGTGGCGCCAGCACTCCGGGTTCTAGTCCTGGATGGGGTGCCGGATTCTGTCCCGGTTGCTCCTCTTCCAGTCCAGCTCTCTGCTGTGGCCTGGAAGTGCAGTGGAGGGTGGCCCAAGTCCTTGGGCCCTGCACCTGCATGAGAGACCAGGAGAGGCACCTGACTCCTGGCTTTGGATTGGCACGGTGCGCCGGCCGCAGCGGCCATTGTGGGGTGAACCAACGGAAAAAGGAAGACCTTTCTCTCTGTCTCTTTCTCTCACTGTCCACTCTGCCTGTCAAAAAAATATATTTATTTATTTATTTATTTGAAAGGCAGGGTGACAGACAGGGAGAGACCACAGTGAAAGATCCTCCATCTGCTGGTTCAATTCCCAGATGGCTGCAGCAGCTGGGACTGGACCAGGTAGAAGCCAGGAGCCTGGAACGCCATCTGGGTCTCCCACATGGATGACAGAGGCCCAGATATTTGAAGTCTTCTGAGGTTTTCTCAGACACATTAGCAGGGAGTTGCATTAGAAGCAGTGCAGCCAGGACTGAAACTAATATGGGATGCAATGTCACAAGCAGTGATTTAACCCACTGTGCCACAATGCCAGGCCCCAAGTGTTCACGTTCTTGTACTCATTGAGATGCTACTGCTTTTAAGGGTGTGTGGTAGGAGGTTAGAGAGAGCAAATGAGGACCTTATAGCCTTCCTGTTCCAAAAGCTCAAGAAAAGAGAAGAGAAAAGGTCTAATTATTTTGGAGTTGAGAAGAGACTAGAACTTGACTCCTGACTCTGTGACCCTGAGTTTCACAGAGGAAATTAAGACTCTTCTATGGCAAGGTAAGCATTTGCATTTTTTTTCTTTTTTTCTTTGACAGGCAGAGTTAGACAGTGAGAGAGGGAGAGACAGAAAGGTCTTTCTTTTTCCGTTGGTTCACCCCACAAATGGCTGCTATGACCGGCGCACCGCACTGATCCGAAGCCGGGAGCCAGGTGCTTCCTCCTGGTCTCCCATGCAGGTGCAGGGCCCAAGCACTGGGGCCATCCTCTGGGCCACAGCAGAGAGATGGACTGGAAGAGGAATAGCCGGCACAGAATCCGGCGCCCCAACTGAGACTAGAACCCAGGGTGCCAGGGCCGCAGGCGGAGGATTAGTCTAGTGAGCCATGGCGCCTGGCCAAGCATTTGCATTTCTAAATTCATAAGATTAAACTGTTTTAGCCTTGTTATGGACTGAACAGGAAGTGGCTCCCCAAACTCATGTGAATGTTGGAAGTCTTATGCTAATGTTTGATGAGTTTAGGGTGGCCTATAAGAGGTGAGCCTGGTGGGAGTTCTTTGGATTATTGGAGGCTTGTCCTCAGAAGGTATTCGCATGAGAAGGTTGATTATTTAAGCTGACTTTGGCTTTGCACCTCTCTTCTTCCTGGCTCACCATGTGATCACTCCTCCCTACGCACTCCACCGTGGCCTTTCTCCCACAGATGCCTGATCCTGAACTGGGACCCTGCAGACTTTAAGCAGAAGTATGCCTTTTCCTTCCCAAGAAGTTTCTCTTGGATATTTTAGTTAAAGTAATGAAAAGCTAACTAATACAAGACTGTTAACATAGATTCATGACCTGGAAGGGCTATTCTTGTATATTATAAAAACTTACCTCTCAGAGGTGTAAAGATAAGGAAGTTTCTAGTACTTTATGCCAACTCTAAGTGTTAGGGTCCGAAAAAGCCCACCGCCCAAGGAACGACTCCAAGAGACCTTTCTCTCATGCAACCAGCAAAGGGTTAAATTTATTGATCCAACATGTTGGGGCCCTCTGAACATACAAGGACAGAGGAGCAGCGAGAAACTACAGCATAGGGTTTATAAAGGCAAAAACTGCAAAATCGGGAGGGGAGAGAGAATACACGGTTGCTAAGTGGTTGCTAAAATCTTACAATAGCAATTATGATCTTAAGACATAGACAAATCACATCTTCATTATTAGCCCAGGTAACCCAGGTGCAACCTTTCTACTTTTAAGCTTGAGCAATCATGCAGGGGGTTTTTGTGCATTGCCAAGGGTGATGTAGTACACTGCTATTGTCCGACTATTTGAGATCATAGTTTCAGACCAGAGTCTCACGGTGGGGGGGTGCTTTCCCAGAATGGAGTCTCAAGTGCTCCAAAATGGAGTCCCTCCTGTCAAGGTGCTACTTCACTCTGTTTTATTTTTACAGCTGCACCAGGAAGGTTTAAACCTGTAAGCTTAAGCTTAACTTTTTACACCCGCACATATACAATTTTAACTCTTTATAAGGAGCATTCCCACCAAGTTCCTCTCCTTTCCTGCTCACCTCAGTTTCCAGTATATGCATAAGTTGTCATGCTGTAAATTATTTGGAGGTGGTTATTTTTACATACTCTCAGATGAAATATACATTTCCAAATAATATTTGAGAAACCAAATATGTCTTTGCATAGAAAAATCATACTTTAAAGCTGTTATTGATTTCTTCACAAGCATAGATTCAAGGCAGACATGGCAGTCTTGATTCTGAATTAATCCAGCAGATGCCACTGAATCACGAGATGTAGCCCACTCAGTCCCAAGCATGTAGCCATAAGTAGCTATATAGAGTGCTCGCAACAGGTTCAGATAATAGCAAGATGATTCTGGAAAACAAGGAGGAAAAAAACAGACTTGCAAGAGCCATGAATGCTGTGTGACTATAGAGCAGCGATTCTCCATCGGTAGGGGATTGATATCTTTTTAAGAGAGAAGATTCAGCCGGCGCCGCGGCTCACTAGGCTAATCCTCCGCCTAGCGGCGCCAGCACACCGGGTTCTAGTCCCGGTCGGGGCGCCGGATTCTGTCCCGGTTGCCCCTCTTCCAGGCCAGCCCTCTGCTGTGGCCAGGGAGTGCAGTGGAGGATGGCCCAGGTGCTTGGGCCCTGCACCCCATGGGAGACCAGGAAAAGCACCTGGCTCCTGGCTCCTGCCATCGGATCAGCGCGGTGCGCCGGCCGCAGCGCGCCGGCCGCGGCGGCCATTGGAGGGTGAACCAACGGCAAAGGAAGACCTTTCTCTCTGTCTCTCTCACTGTCCACTCTGCCTGTCAAAAAAATAAAAATAAAAAATAAAAAAAAAGAGAGAAGATTCATTCATCTTCTGCTTTGTATGTATTTCTTTAATTTTTTAAAAAATATTTATTTTATTTGAAAGGCAGAGAGCACACTCTCCCAAACATCTACCTCCCTCTGCTCTATTTAAGTGATATAAACTACAGAAAGTGAAGCTTCCTATTGTACAGATTATGCAGAAGATACAGTGAGAAAGCACAAAAGTTGAGGGTAATAAAGATCTTTAAAAACACAACTATAAAGAAATAAGACTGATTTTTCCTCAACTTACTAGAACCAAATGATTTCTCTTTAAAAAAAAAAAAGCCATCTAGGAAAGCATTCTGGATAATGCTATAAAAGACACAAGCCATGACCGTGTGCTTGAGCAAGTCTATAAAGACATAAATGGGTGGAGTTTATAGTTGTAGTCAAACTCCCTGGTTACAAAGTGCTTCTTTATAGTTCATATAACACTTTCACACTTTTCTCATTTGCCACATATTAAATGATAGCCATACTTGTGCTACATGCTAATTAAGCTTAATTGGTTCTTGTGAATGACTTCTAATTAATGGGAATGGTTTGCTGCCAAAGCCAAGTTTCATTTCTCTTTTTAGGATTTAAAATCAGAATCAGTTTAAACCATACTCTGTGTTTTGCTTCATAAATGTTGATCCTCATGTATGTTAAACAGTCTCCTGGGGCCGGCGCTGTAGCTCAGTGTGTTAAAGCCCTGGCCTTAAGTGCCGGCATCCTATTTGGGCGCCGGTTCTAGTCCCGGGTGCTCCTCTCCCAATCCAGCTCTCTGCTATGGCCTGGGAAAGCAGTGGAAGATGGCTCAAGTGCTTGGGCCCTTGCACCCATGTGGGAGACCCGGAAGAAGCTCCTGGCTCCTGGCTTTGGATCGGCGCAGCTCCAGCCATTGCGGCCATCTGGGGAGTGAACCAGAGGATGGAAGACCTCTCTCTCTGTCTCTACCTCTCTCTGTGACTATGTCTTTCAAATAAATAAAGTAAATATTAAAAAGGGGGGGGGGGAGGGAGGAAAAGAATCTCCTGGGGTAGGCATTTAGCCTAGCAGGTAAGTGATCCATGTCCTACATTGGAGTATCTGGGTGAGTCCCAGCTCTGTCTCCTAACTCTAGCTTCCTGCTAGTGCTGACAGTGGTGCAGACTGATGGCTGATGGCTCTCAAGTAATTGGGTTCCTGCCACCCTCCAGGGAGAGCCAAATTGAGTTCCCAGCTCCCAGCTTTGGCCCTAGCCTAACCCTAGCTTTGGTGGACATTTGGGAAGTGAACCAGAAAACAGTCTCTGTCTCTCTGCTTCTCAAACTAAAAAGAAAATGGGGTGGGGCCCAGTTCCAGCCTTGTGGTGCAATGAGTTAAGCTGAGACCTGCAATGCAGGCATCCCGTGAATGCCAGTCTGAGTCCTGGCTGCTCCACTTCTAATCCAGCTAATGCACCAATGAAAGCAGTGGAAGATGGCCAAATTACTCGGGTGCATGCCACCCATGTGGGAGACCTAGCTGGAGTTCCCGGCTTCTGCTGTTGCAGCCATTTGGGGAGTGCCAGCAAACTGCAAATCTCCCTGTCCCTCTGTCTCTAACTCTGCCTTTCAGATAAGCAGATAAATCTTTTAAAATGAAATTAATAGGCCGGTGCCGCGGCTCACTAGGCTAATTCTCCGCCTTGCGGCGCCGGCACACCGGGTTCTAGTCCTGGTCGGGGCACCGGATTCTGTTCCGGTTGCCCCTCTTCCAGGCCAGCTCTCTGCTGTGGCCAGGGAGTGCAGTGGAGGATGGCCCAAGTGCTTGGGCCTTGCACCTGCATGGGAGACCAGGAGAAGCACCTGGCTCCTGCCATCGGATCAGCGCGGTGCGCCGGCCGCGGCGGCCATTGGAGGGTGAACCAACAGCAAAGGAAGACCTTTCTCTCTCTCTCTCTCACTGTCTAACTCTGCCGGTCAAAAAAATAATTTAAAAAAATAAAAATATTAATGAAGAAAATGAGGTAGGCCAAGACACCACTAGGAGTGCCTACATCCCACATCTGAGTGCTTGCCTTTGACTCCTGGCTCTGCTCCTGATTTCAGTTTCCTGCTAGTGTGTACCCTGGGAGGCAGCCAGGTGATGGCTCAAGTGGTTGGGTTCCTGCCACCAGTGTGGAAGACCTGGATTGAGTTCCTGGCTCCTGGCATTGGCCAGGCTTGGCCTCAGCTATTATCATTTAGGGAGTGAACACAAGATGAGAGATTCATTCTCTCTTTGTCCCCACCCCTAGCCTTATAAATAAGTACAATCAATAAATAAAAATTTTCAAAAAACAGGCATTATGACACAGCAGGTAAAGCCACTGCTTAAGATACCCACATCCCATATCAGAGTGAAGGTTCCCAGTCACTGCTGCTTCATACTTCAGATCGAGCTTCCTGTCAGTGAACCTAGGAGGTAGCAAATAACAGCCTAAGTACTTGGGTTCGTGCTGTTACCGAAGAATGGAGGGTTCTTGTCTTCGCGCAAGAAAGAATTCAGGCGTGAGACAGAGTAGTGGAAAGTAAAAAGTAGCAAAGTTTATTAAGGTAGGGACATCCGAAAGAACGGATGGGCACCTCTCCAGACAGGACCTGAGAGAGAGTGCAGTCGCTCAGGCGGGGGGAAGGAGCGAGGTTACATGGTTGAGTGGAGAGATTACACCTGGCCAGACCAGGCGGGTGGGCGGCTGGCTCAGCAGAGAGGCAGAGGGCTGAGCGCGCAGTCCGGTTGAGGTGTGTGTGGGGGTGTTTAAGGAGATGGGTCTTTGTCTTCACACATCTCCTCCTGAAACAAAGGATTTTATGGAGGTAAATATTAGGAAGCTCCTATCTGAGTTTTCCCTTGAAGGTATCAGACAGGAGGAAGCCTAGCTGGCGCCATCCTGGGTTCAGAGGAAGGGTGAGCAGGACCCCCTGGAGAATCAGGATCCCCAGCAGGGTGTTTGAAATGCAGATACTGGGCTGCATTTGGGAGGTTGTGGAAGATTTGTCAGGCAGAAGGGGCGGGGTCCTCCACCTGGTAGAAGGGGGCAGGGCAGGATAAGAGTACCCGGCTGCCCCTGAAACATTATCAGGATGACTTTGAGATGCAGATGCATATGCTGGACATAGACGTCTTCTCTTTAGGCCTTTATGTCACACACATAAGCTCATATCTGATTTCCTACCTAACACTGCCACCCATGTGGGTGGAGTTTCTGGCTCCTGGCTTCTGCCTGGCCTAGCCCCCAGCTGTTGCAGACATTTGGGGAGTGAACAAAGAGATGGAAGATATCTGTATCTCTCTCTCTCCTCCCTGCCTCACCCCCACCCCTCCACTCGGTGTTTCAAATAAATAAATCATTAAAAAAAAAACTTCTGAGACCTTAGGCAGCTGAACTTTCCCTTCTCCAGGGCTTTCATTACTAGCAGCTCTTGAGCTCTGTCAGTCAGTCCTGGTTTATTCCCACCAGCACTCATCTCCGTACCTGTGAAGGGGATTTGTGTCTAACATATAACATTGATTCACCAACAAGCATTTGTTGAGCAGTATGTGCTAGAGATTGAGCAAGGAAGGCACTAGAAATATACACAGTAACTGGCAAGGTCACCCTGGTTCCTTCCCTCAAGGAGCTCACAGATCAAATAGGCAGACAGGCCAGCGCTGTGGTGTAGTAGGTTAAACACCCGCCTATGGCACTGGCATCCCACATGGGCACCGGTTCAAGTTCTGGCTGCTCCACTTCTGATCCAGCTCCCTGCTAATGTGTCTGGGGAAGCAGTGGAAGATGACCCAAGTCCTTGGGCCCCTGCACCCACGTGGGAGACCCGGAAGAAGCTCCTGGCTCTTGGCTTGGGAGCTGTTGCAGCCATTTGGGGAGTGAACCAGCAGATGGAAGACCTCTCTCTCTCTCTCTGTAACTCTACCACTCAAGTAAATAAACACATCTTAAAAAAAAAAAAAAAACAACAACAACAACAAAAAAACAAAGTCTAGACTGTGGTAGGGGAGATGGGCAGGAAGACCTGTTTGATTGTCTCACTAATCTACAGCCCAGACTTTATCAATGAGAAAGGTGATGCGTGGGCCTCTGTTTTTTTCCCTCTCATTTGGATCAGCACTCAGGGAAAAGAAAGCTGTCACAGATTGTGTCCCCTCTGCCCATCAGCAGAGGATGATGCTATAGGAGAAAGTGCCTGGGGCCAGTAGCCTGGTATGGAGTAAATGAGGGGACCTGGGGTTAGGCAGGAACTGATAAGGTCAAGATATTGGGGAAGTGGATTCTCAGAAAAGAGACAGCCTTTAAAATATATATATATATAAATATATATATTTCTATATAAATATATATTTATATATTAATATATATATAAATATATAAAAATATATATATATATTTGAAAGGTAGAGAGAGAGAGGTCTTCTATCCTCTGGTTCACTCCCCAAATGGCCGTAACGGCTGGAGCTGGGCCAATCTGAGGTCAGGAGCCAGGAGCTTCCTCTGAATCTCCCATATGGGTGCAGGGGCCAAAGGACTTGGGCCATCTTCTACTGCTTTCCTAGGCACAATATCAGGGAGCTGGATTGGAAGTGGAGCAGCTGGGACTCAAACCAGCATCCATATGAGTAAGAATGCTTGTGTTATATATTAATGTTAGCCGTCGCAAAACACACTGAACACTGGAATAAGGGAAAGGGTTTATTGGGGAACACCCAACAGACCGGAGTGAAGGGGCGGCAAAGGAAAAAGAGAATGGCTTTGAGGAATAGATGAGCAAGGGGCTTCAGATAGGACAGAAGAGGTTGACACCGCCCCCTGGAATTCGAAAGGAGGGGGAGGTGAGGACGCAGCTGCTGCGTGGGGGATAATGGCGCTGGACCTTCAGCAGCTGAGGCCTCAGGAGGCGGCTGAGCCAGTGCCTGTAGATTGGAGCAATAAGGGGGAGGTTCATCTGCAGGATCAAAGGAGGTTGTGGTAGAGGCAGTACCAAGGTTAGAGGTAGAAAACGAGGTTTTCTGCTCAGGCCTCTGACCCCTAGTGCAAGTCTTGGAGACCAGAAGGACTTGAGCAGGAGAGCAAGAAGTACACAGGGAAGGTTTAGTTCGAAGATAGGAAAAGGCTTGAACGTATGGAATCTCCTTCCATTTTCCCGAACACTCATGGAAATGATAAAGATGTTATCAGGGTCAAACTACTCCGACTTCCGATCCCTCAGAGCCAAATGCGCCACCATGGAGGGGCCGCTTTTTGAGGCTGGGGTCAATTTGAGAGGGACCATCAGACGGAACGCAGTTAGAGAAAAGTTCCCATTGCGACCTGTAGAGTCAGATCCGTAGATTGCAAGTGTCCTTGCATCCCGGCTATCTGACTAACGAGAGAATATGGGAGCAGAAGGCGGGGTCGTCACCCAAGCACCCACTGGAGCCCAGGGCCTAGCCTGTAAAAAGGGGAACAGAGATGGAGTCGTCACTTGCACCCACTGTTGCCTGGACACAGTGTCCGTAGAGGCTAAAGGCCTTAAGTAGGAGAAGTAGGAGTGGTGGCTAGAGTCCAGTGCTGCGACCTTTACGAGAGTCAGGCGAGTATACTAGACCACCACTCAGATAGCAGGCACCCTGAGGAATTTTCGTTCCGCGTCTTACCTCAGAATTTGGAAGGCCAATGTGTGGATGGAGATCGCAGAGCGTTCAGTGGTGTGGGAGGAGTTCCGGGGGTGTGCTTTGCGACCGGCAGAAATCCAGGACCCCAGAGCAGTTCAGAGGTCCCCAAAGGGAGAGCAAAGTCACTGGGGGACGCTGGATCCCCAGCGTAAGGCTATCCGAGTCACAGCACCAATGTTATATATTAATGTTAGCCGTCGCAAAACACACTGGACACCGGAGTAAGGGAATATTGGGAACCACCAACAGACCGGAGTGAAGGGGCGGCGAAGGAAAAAGAGAGAGAAAGAGTATAAGAGAGAGAGCCAGAGGAGAGGAGCTAGCGAGGAGAGAAGATAGAGCAGAGAGACGATAGGAGGAGAGGAGCCAAGAGAAAAGAACCAAGAGGGAAGGACCAAGAGAGCACGTGTTCAGGAACAGGCCCTTTTAAAACTCTGCTGGAGGGCAGGCAGGGAAGCAGGAGCAGCGAATCCCATTAGGATGGGGGTGGAGCCTGGCTCAGGTAGCTGGGCCATGCGGCCACCTGGCTAAAACTGCACCAGTTTCCTAACAGCTTGGATCTGTATGATGTTGAGCAAGCTTCTTAAACGTTCCAAGCTGCTTTTCTGTACAGTTGGTGATGTAACATTTCTACCCCTTATCAGATTGTTGTATCAGAACAGATACAGTGCCATGACTGTCACTCCATCGCTGGTAGCTGTGCTGTTTTAACAATGCTCTCTCCCTAACACAAGTTTCAAACTCCTCTTTGGGAATGGAGTCACAGAATCGCGTACTGTGAAGAGACTCTAAAATCCCGTCTGCATACAACGCTTGCATCCCTTCTGTAACACTGAGAATCAGTGGTCTGTTCCAGCATTGCTGATAGCATATCTAGGGACAGGAAGTTCACTGCTGTCTTAAGTGGCCACTCCATGTTTGGTCTCTGTATGTTAGAAGGTTCTTTCTTGAACTGAATCCAAATCTGCTTCCCTGTGACCTCTCTCCAGGGGTCTGGACAGGGCCTCGTGCCCTTCCTGCCTCTTCCATGTGAGAGCCCTCATGGGGCTTGAAGTCATTTTCCCACTGCCATTCACTCACCTAGAGTTGGAAAGCTTGTATCTTCAGCCTTCCTGACAATAATTAAGAGATAAATTCATCAATCAAGTAACAATCTCAGCATATGTACCTCATAGCACAGCTTGACAACATGAAGTCAAAAGTGTTGGTGGGAGACTTGAATAACAGTAGGAGCTGTCATTTACTGATTCGCTGACTGCAATCGGTGCTAGAGATACACAGGGTTGGACAGGTCCAACCCTGTCCGTGGGAGAAAGTCAAACAAGTAAACGAGCACACTGTTGACTGTTGATTAGACACTGTGACAGGTCTGTGAAGGCCAGTGTGCAGGGGGCACCAAGGGAAGAGTCCTCTTTCTGAGACAGCGACTGCTTCCTACGGGAGAGGAAACAAATTACGCCTTGACAATTACACCTCACTCAGCTAGTCTTCTCCATTTGTGTGGTATTTTGTTAAATTATCAGAGGCTTTAGTCATGCCAGCTTTTCTTTAAAAGAGCCCCCATCAGTAAATGCAAATGCATTCCTCCAAGAAGTGCTCATTTTCTCTGTCAGCATTCATCACAAAGGCTCTTTCATAGCACCAGAATAAAGGAAACCAGGCAAGGAAGAAAAGTAGAATGTTGTGATTTGTTGTGCCTGCAATTGGATTTGTTTATTTGTGCTGTACTCTGCTGGATGCTGGGGGATAGAAGACCTGCCTAGTGGGATGAGGAAAGTACAAAGTGACCCAGAGCAGAAGGCACTAGGGATCCTTGGGAAAGGGTTACTTGGTGTGCCTGGAAGTTCTGAGGGGGATAGGCACTGGGAAGGTGAAATCAGCCTTCCTAAGGGCTGGCATTGTGGTGTGAGAGGCCTAGGGACCGCCTGCAATACATCCCCAACTGCTCTGCTTCCCATGCAGCTCCCTGCTAATGCACCTGGGAAGGCAGCAGAAGCTGGGCCAAGTGCTTGGGCCCCTGCCACCCACCTGGAAGACCCAGATGGAGTTCCTGGCTCCTGAGTTCATCCTGGCTCAGCAGTGGCTATTGTGGCCATTTGAACAGTGAACCAGAGGATGGAGATCTCTTTCTCTGTCTCCCCCTTCTCTCTGCCTTTCAAATAAATATAAATCTTTTTTAAAAAGATTAAAATCCCTTTGAGAAAAAGTTCTAAAACTAATGATCTTGGGAGCAGGCATTTAACACAGCCCATGTTGGAGTGCTTAGGTTTAAGTCCCAGGTCTGGCTCCTGATTCCAGGTTCCCACCAATGCAGACCCTGGGAGGCAGTGGTGATGGCTCAAGTAATTGGTTCTGACACCACACAGAAGACCTGGATTGTGTTCCTAATACTGGATAGGAGTTCACTTTTTTGTTGTTTTAATATTTATTCATTTTTATTTATTTGAAAGGCAGAGAAAGGGAGAGAGCGGTCTATCCATTGATTCACTCTTCCAATGCCTGCAACAGCCAGGGCTGGAGCATGGAAGGGTCTCCCAGACTCAAGTACTTGAGCCATCACTGCTGCCTCCCAGGCACATTAGCAGGAAGCTAAATCAGAAGCAGAGGCAGGACTGGATCCTAGGTACTCTAATATGGGATGTGGGCACACCAGGCAATGGCTTAACAACACCCATCCCGCCCCTCATTAAAAAAATAAAAAAAGATTTATCTATTTGACAGGCAGAGTAACAGAGAGAGAGCGTGCTGGTTCACTCCTCAGATGTCTGCAACAACTGGGGCTGGTCCAGTCTGATGCCAGGAAACTAGACCTCCATCCAGGTCTCCCACATAGGTGGCAGGGACCCAGTTACTTCAGCCATCATCTGCTGCCTTCCCAGGCGCATTAGCAGGTAGCTGGATCGGAAGCAGAGGAGCAGGAACTTGGGATGCTGGCATTGCAGGCTATGGTTTAACCCACTGCACCATGAAGCCAGCCCCCACATGCATACATTTTTGTATGGACATATGTTTTCATGTCTTTTTTTTTTTTTAAGAGAAATTGTTAGCTTCCATCCTTTTAAAAATTTTTGTTTTTATTTTATTCGAAAGACTAAGATCTTCAGTCTGCTGGTTCACTCCCCAAATACCTGCAACACCCAGGGCTGGGCCAGGCCTTGGTCTCACATGTGGGTGGCAGGACCCAATCACTTGCTGCATCCCAGAATGGACATTAGCAAGAGCCTGGACCAGAAGCAGAGGAGCCAGGCACTCCAACATGGGATGGAGGTGCCCTGAGCCACAGCTTGAGCACTGTGCCAAAACACCTGCTCCAAGTTATGTGTTCCGGTTACTAGATCCTTAGCAGGTCTATGGTTATGACTTTCCGGTATTTTCTCTCATTCTGTGGGTTTAATTTCTTGACATGTCCTCTGCAGCATTGTGTACTACCTTTAACAAATATTTTAATATCTTGGGGGCAGACATTTGGCCTAGTGTTTAAAATGCTGGTTAACATAATGACTGGATTTAATACCCGGCTTCACTCCTGACCATAGCTCCAACCCTGTTAATGCAGACCCCCAGAGGAAGTGGTGGTGGCTCAAGTCACTGGGCTCCTGCCACCCACGTGGGACCTGCACGGCCTTCTGCTCCCAGCTTCAGCCTATTCCAGCGCTAGCCGTTGCAGGCATTTGGGGAGCGTGCTCTCACTATATCTCAAGTAGAAATTTAAAAATTAAAAAAAAAATCTTTAAAATAGAAACATGATTGGTATTAAATTACACTTTCAAATTTAATAAGTATTATAACTTTAGGTGCAAACCATTGTCCCCAGGCTGTTCTGGAGCTTCTAAACTGAGAGTCTTGAGGTCACTGAGGGGCCCACCAGAGTGACAGCCATCGCTTTTACAGCACTGATGTACCAGGTGCTGTGTGGGCACTGCACGTGTGTCAGCTCATCTAATTCTCCTAGCAGTCCTGTGAGGTAGTGACTGGCTTCATGACAGCAGCCGTACACCTCAGAGAACGGAAGCAGTACCGTAGCCCCAGGCTCTTGTCCCTCCCTTCCTCTGTCCACCTTCGCCATCTCTCCCCGCTGCCGGCATGGTGCCCGTGAGTGTCCTGGCTGGCGCTCTCACGCGCATCAGCAGTGCAGAAAAGAGAGACAAATGTCAGGTTCCTGTTACACCTGCTGCTAAGTCCTTGTCAGGTTTCTAACTGTAATGAGGCAGTGTAGAGACCTTGGCGAAGTTGAAATCATCAGTGATCACAGAGCTGGTACGGTAAACAAGTGTGGGGTGATCGGCTTGATGTGCAACCGAAAGATCTAGAAAAGTGGCAGAATAATCTGCCCCCATCCTGTCAGTTCAGTTCCATTGTATCGACAACCACAGCGGGCGTCCTGGGCCACGAAGAAGCCGGATGAAAACACAACACGAGAGGGAAAACCCCGGGATCCCCCCACCCCCCAGGGATGTAATACATACAAATAAAAAGGCCTCGGTGCAGGAAGCAAAAAGGAAAATTCGCCTGGAGCCCGAGAGTCAGTAGCAGAGAGACAGGTTCCAGAATCCGCTGCTCTCAGCCGCTACCTAGCTAGACCGAGATGGAATCAAACCATTCCAAAGGCCGTCCGCACGGTGAGCGCCTGCTCTGTCCGCACCAACCCAGAAACCAGTGCCACCCACCCCGGCGCCTGCGTCGCTCCCCGGCCACTCGGCTGCAGGACCCTGGCTCCTCCCCAGGGGTCGCCAGGCTTCAGAGTTCTGTGAAGTAGCTGTGGAGTCGCCTACGTGCCCCGCACCCTCTCCCCGGGGTGGGCAGGGTTCTCAGAGTCCGGCGGCCAATGAGCGCCTTGGAGCCGCCGAGTCAGCCCAGTGGGACTCTGAGGTGAGCGCTGGGTGGAACCAGCGGGACCGGCGGAACGGAGCCCCGCCGTGGTACCTGCTGTGTGCCGCACTGGCCGCCCTGAGCGGAACCATGAGCTGGACCTGCCCGCGTTGCCAGCAACCTGTGTTCTTCGGTGAGGAATGAGCTGAGGAGGTGGGAAGATGGGGCGAGCCTGCCGCCAGGTTCCCTGGGGACGAGAGGGCTGGCCTCGCGAGGTGACCCCACACACCCCTTTCTGCCTGTAGTGGGACGTGGTCCCCGCACCCCTACCTGCTCCCACTCAGGTCCTGTCCTCGCTTCCCAGAGCTCTGGGGGCCGCATGGCACGGGGGTGGGATGCAGCCTCAGTTGCAGACAACCCTTAGTTGTCTCCAGGGAGCAGAACAGGCTGATCTGGGTCCCCCAGAGGGCTGGGAAGGGGAAGAGGGAGCCCCCAGCCAGAACAGACTCCTCACGGACTGGTCCCACCTTGTCCCCTACAGCTGAGAAGGTGAGCTCCCTGGGCAAGAACTGGCACCGCTTCTGCCTGAAATGTGAGCGCTGCCACAGCGTCCTGTCCCCTGGCGGGCATGCAGAGGTGAGGCCTGGCCAGGGGACACAGTCGTGTGTGTCACCAGATCCTGGAATTTCTGCCTTGGGGGCTTGCCGCAAGGCAACCCTCAGCAGCAAGTCCACCGCCACCCAGCTGGTGGGATCTGGGGAGCCTGAGTAGTGCAGTGGCCCCCTGGCATGGGGGAGGGAGAGGGGGGAGCAGCACAGCCTCCTGGCCGTCCTCGCCCTTCTTCCCGGGACCACCGAGGCAGTTCCGGCATGCCAGCCCAGCCAGCGGGTGGACACTTGGCAGCCTGCCTTGGGGAAGGCTCTGAGCCACCTGCTTTCTTCTGCATGTGCCCAGCACAATGGGAGGCCATACTGTCACAAGCCATGCTACGGGGCTCTCTTCGGACCCAGGGGTGAGTACCAGCCGGGAAGGGGGGAGGGGGCCGGGGCAGCAGAACCCTCCAGGTGGGCTGGCAGGGGCGAGCTCAAGCCTGCCTTCCTTGTTCTCTCTGCAGGGGTGAACATTGGTGGTGTGGGCTCGTACCTCTACAACCCGCCCGCTCCCACCCCTGTCAGCGCCACACCCCTCAGCCCCAGCAGCTTCAGCCCCCCCAGGCCAAGGACAGGCCTCCCGCAAGGCAAGAAAAGTAAGAGAGGCTGTGCCTCAGCTGCTGCTGCTGCTCCTCCTCCTCCTCCTCCTCCTCCCCCTCTTCCCCTTCCCTGGGCTGCAGCGGGGGTGGGGCCAGGTGGCAGTTTTCTGCCCCAGCCCTCTGCTGCGTGGTCCTACAACTTTATTCCTGGAAAACTCTTCTGTACCCCCAGCCCTTCTTGTTCTAACATCACCCCCATGTCAGCTGCCGGGCTAAGAGGTAAGTTAGGTGGCACTGTCACCCCCATTTTGCAGGTGAGGAAACTGAGGCACAGCAAGGACAAGTGGCCCTGTGCAGTCACACAGCCAGCGAGAGGCAACGTGGGGCTACAAGTTAGGCCTCTCCCAGGCCAGGGCCATGGAAGGAATGACTTGCAGGGGAGGGGTCATCGGGATGGGGCCAGCCCCTCACGTCCCTCAGCTTCTCTCTCCGGCCCCTTGGAGTGGGCAGTGACACCATACTTCCCAACACCTGACACCCCTGCCCTGGCCAGCTCCTATATCAGCTCAGGTTTCCTGAGGATTGAGTTGCTGGTAGGGTTGGACCGGTGGGCACCTGAGCCCCTGGGAGAATGAGAAGGACGCAGGTGGTCCCTAGCACCAGTAGAGATGGAACAGGAGGCGGGGGCCCAAGGAAGGCAGGCTTGGCTGGGTGGGAGGCCATGAGTGGAGCAGGGCTGTAGAAAGAGGCCGGTGCCGGGTGCAGCCAAGTGTGTGCGGCAGGCGGGCCCTGCTTAGGTGCTGACCCCCACCACAGCCCCAGCCAAGGCCTCTTCTCCTTAAAGGCCCTCCCCACATGAAGACGTTCACGGGGGAGACTTCGCTGTGCCCTGGCTGTGGGGAGCCCGTCTATTTTGGTAAGTGACAATGGACAGCCTGGGGGAGGGGAGGCTATGCCCGGCGGGCCGGTCTCCCTGCCCTGCCCCTGGAACAGAAGCACCGCTTCCCTCCACCGCCAGCTGAGAAGGTGATGTCTTTGGGCAGAAATTGGCACCGACCCTGCCTGCGGTGCCAGCGCTGCCGGAAGACCCTGACGGCCGGGAGTCACGCCGAGGTGAGCAGGGCAGGGGTGGGTGGCTGTGCCGGGAGGTGGCGGGCTGCAGCTGGAGAGACGGCCAGGCCCAGACAGCTCTCTTTCTCTCCGTGTCCTAGCATGACGGCGTCCCCTACTGCCACATCCCCTGCTACGGCTACCTGTTTGGCCCCAAAGGTGAGCAGCCCCGCCCCAGACACTGGGCATGTGTAGTCCTCCGTGGGGACGCGTGGACAACTTCCTGGGTGGTCAGACACGCCCCAGGCCCCTCCCGATTCCCCTCGGTGCTCAATGCCCCTGGGCCCCAGGCCCTTGGTGACAGGGCTCTCTCCCTCAGGCGTGAACATCGGCGATGTGGGCTGCTACGTCTATGACCCTGTGGACGTAAAATCCGAATGAGACCCTCGCCCTGCCTCGGCCTTCCCCCGGCCCCTTGGTGGTCCCGCGGGAGCTGCAGAGCTCTCCAGTGCCCCAGTGCTGGGGGAAGACAGACCCCGCAGGCCTGGGTGTGGGCTGCACTCCGAGATAGACCAGGGAGTCCGGACTTTCTCTGCCAATTCTTCCCTTTCCTGTTCCTAGCTAGGCAGGGGACACAAGCCACCCCATCGTGGAGGGTGGCCTCCTGGCCCTCCCAGTTCCTTTCTCAGTGAATTCTGGAGCTTCAAGGTACTCATCAAACTATGTTTTCTTGAGCCTCAGCCTCTCTGTCTTCTGCAATAAAATGTCGGCTCCCACGCCTTCTCGTCTTCTTAGGGCCCAGCGGTTGGGGGCGCACTGCCTGCCTGGGAGTCGGCGGGGCCAATCATGGGAACAGAGGATTCTCTTCTCCTGGTCCCCCGGCCCTCGCAGCGGGCAGCCCCTAGCACCACCCAGTGGACAGCACGTCCGGCGGCCCCACTGGTTCCCAGAAGTCATCACAGTACAGCCCCTGCTTTACCATCTCCAGAAGCACCCTGTTCAGCTTCTCGCGTGGGCCTGACAGCAGACCCTGCGGGAAGGTCTGCAAAGAGGCCTTCTTGTCCATTTGGGAGATGAACTACAGGAATCCCAGAGAGGGCAAGCCACCTTCCCAAGGTCACACAGCACATCACTGGCAAAGATGAACTCGGAGCCCGGGGCATTTGTTCAATGACTTCCCACCCAGGGCCCGTCCCAAAGCTCCTCCCTGTTGCGCCAATCCAGGGGCTGCCTTTATTTCCAGAATCTGGCCCCCAGCCACACAAGGGACACCCAGGAGCTCTCGGACGTTGCCATGTGCTGGAGGCGAAATGGTCAAGGCTGGATGAGCACTGGGAGAAGGCACCAGTGGCAGAGGGTTCGATGCCCATGGCCCTGGTCACAGGGCCTGCCCGCTGCTCTCCTGCCCCTGCTGCTGAGCTGCTGCGCGGGGCTGTCCCCAGTCCCACTCAGGTCTGCACCTGCTTCATGGCCATCTCTTCCTCCTGAAGACTGGACAGGGCACCAGGGAGGAAGGCGTCACGAGCAGCGGTGGGGTTTAGCCCTTGAACCCGCCACCCCAGCTTGCCCATCAGGCCTGGCCCAGGGCTCTCCCCAGCTTCTAGAATGCCAACGCTTGTTCTTGCACAAGTGACTCACACACATGCTTGCTGAGTGTGTGCACATACACCGCTTCCTGCACCTTGGGCATCTGTGCCCTTGCACACGTATGCACGCACCTGACACCCTCCTGCACACTCACATACGTGCACCAAGTACACGAGGGCAGATGAGTCATCTTCTCTGAACCCTAAATGTGCCAGGCAGCCGGGCACCTGCACCCACACGCGTGTGCTCACACACACACAGTCCTGTGCACACACCTTTTTCTCTCCACATCCTGGATGGTCTCCGGCAGCTGTGCCCGCCTGGTCTCTGGCAGCAGGAGGGCGGTGCAGGCAGCCAGCAGGGCTATGCCCCCGTACGCCAGCTTGGGCAGTGACAGCCACACTCCATCCAGCAAGGCTGCCAGTGGGGCCAGAGAGCCCCCCAGCCGGCCCACCAGCGCAGTCAGCCCCATTCCTGTCTGTCTGTTCAGAGAGAGGACGAGGGAGGCAGTTGGGGTGCGTACCTACCTGGAGGCTTCTCCTCCCCAGACAGCAGAGGGAGCTAAGGCTGTCTTCAATCCGTCTTCCCACCCACTCCCAGCAGCCACCAGAGTCTGGGGCCCGCGTTCTGACGCAGTACCCATCAGTGCCACTGAAAGAAAGGAGCTGGGGAAAGGGTAATGTGGAAGGGAGAGGGCCAGCAGCTGCTGCCGGCCCTCCCGTGCTGTTGGCGGAGACTCGAGTCCTTGGAAACATAACCAGCAACGCAGCAGGTGCCACCCCCCACCCACCAGTAGCTGACACCCCCACCCCACCCCACCCCACCCCCCGCCAAGGCTGGTGGTCACTGGGATGCGGTGGGCAGGATGCGGTGGGCAGGACCGGGCATCTTGGGACTATTTCCTTCCAAAGAGGGCCCAGAGAGGTCGTCCCACTAGGCTCAGGGTCACTCAGCAGAGATAAAATGCCCCACCTTCTCTTACCTGTGGGTAAACAGCAGACCCTCATTCTCTCTGCAGCATGGTGTAAGTACGGGAGGGAAGCGGTGTGTACGCGCACCGTTGCTGCTTTGGACACGTGATTAGCAAGCCCCACCCCCAAGGTCGGTCGCCTCGAGACCCAGCCCCCTCACCTGAGCACCGTGGGGTACAACTCCGAAGTGAACAGGTAGGCGGTAGTGAAAGCGGCTTCAGAGAAACCCTTGCCCATCACCGCTAGGGCGGTGCTCCAGGAGCTCCTCTCTGGAGGAAAAGGGGTTCGGGGAAGTGGGAGGGCCTTGAGCGAGAGCCAGGAGCCCCCCACCCCCTGGATCGGAGGCGGGGTCCCCGGAATGGCCCGAACTCAGCGGCCGAGACCGAAGCTCCCCTGGCAAGGGCGTGGTCTCCGGGAGGGGGCGTGTTCCGGGGCCGGGCTCCCGGGGTGGGCGGGGCCTTGGGGCCGAGCTCACCGGAGGCCACCAGCAGTCTGATGCCCAGGGCCAGGGCCGCGCCCAGCAGCGTCCCGGCCTGCGTGAGGCGGCGTCCGGCGTGGCGCACTGACAGGTAGACCAGGAGCTTGGAGGGCAGCTCCACCGCCCCGAACAGCAGCTGCGTCTGATACACGTTCAGCCCCAGCCCCGACACAGCCAGACTCTGGCCGTAATAGGAGAAGTTCACGCCAAACCTGAAAGGCGTCGCGGTGCCACCAGGAAGCCCTCCTTCCCGCCCCTCTGCGTCCTCTTCCCAGGAAGACCTGGCCTATCAGAGGGAGGACCCCCGCCCCACCACCGCAATCCCCTGTTGGGTCTGCCACATGCGCACCAGTGGCCACAACGCTCCTACCCGGACCCTCGCAGCAGCCTTGACAAAGGGTATGGCTCCATTCTCTGGCCTCTCCCAGCCAAAGGTCCTCCTGCCCTCCACCCACCGTCACATTCGTCCCTCGCCCTCCTCCCTCCTCGCTCAGCACCCTCTTGGAGTCTGCCCCTCCCCGCCATCACCCCCAGGCCGCCAGCCCCAGGCCCGCCCTCCTTACCACACCACCATGCAGCACAGGGAGATGTGCCTGAGCCTGGGCGTGCGGAACAGGTCCAAGTATGAGGGTCTGCGGACCACCCGTTCCCCAGCCGCCACTTCGCTCAGGGCCTGGTGGGGGGAGGGCATGGGGTTGTGACATCAGAGTGGGCTCCGTGGTCCCAGCCGGACAGACTGTGCCCTGTCTCTCTGTTCCTTGCCTCTTGTGCTAGCAGTGGAGAAGGGTGGCCCTGAATGAAAGGTGTGGCCCACCAGAGCCAGGTGGGGGGGGCACCGGAAGAGGGGAGCTTTTCCTGCCACCTATGGTGGGCCCAAAGAGGAAGTGGTGCTGGACAAAGCTCCTTCAACCGCGCCACACACGCACATGCACACACGCGCGCCCGTCCTCCCTCACCTCTCTGCTCAGACCGTCCTGAGGCACGGGCCGGCCGTTGAGCCTGGCACAGCGGAGCAGGTACCGCTGAGCCTCCTCCACTCGGCCCTGGGTCAGAAGCCAGCGCGCAGACTCCGGCACCCACCTACGGGACAGGCTTTCGGCTGGAGAGTCCGTGCCAGCAGTCCCCTCAGCCCCCAGCGCCATCCCCTCCCCAGGCCATACTCATCTAAAGCCGCATCCTCCCACACCCCCTTGCCCAGGTCCAAGCACCCCACCACCCGAGAGTCCCCTCACTCCTCAGCTGAGTTGGCCACGCCCTGGAGACCTCAGCTCCCAGCACCAGCCCCAGGCCTCTCTGCAGATGGGCGGCAGGAGGGCGCAGAATGACAGAGGGACTGACTGCCGTAGCCAGAGAGGCCATCCAAATGAGTTCGGGTTTGAGAGGCAATGAAACACCCAGCCAGTCAGCCAGTCAGGCCTCCCACCCCCTGCAGGTGGCCAGCTTCAGCCAGTGCGTGGCTCGGTCTGTGTCTCCAGTCTCCCACTGACTGGCCTCTCCTGCTGCACGCGGCTACCCCTCTCCCTCTGGATCTACCGTTCAGTTCTGTCTCTGTCTCTGCATCTCTTTCTATCTTGTTCTCTGTGGTTTTTTTCTCTTTAGTTTGTATTTGTTTGAAAGGCGGAGGAGAAACAGACAGAAGCAGACAGACAGAAAGCTCCTATCCACTAGTTCACTTCCCAGAAGCCTCCAGTGGCCCAGGCTGGGCCAAGCTGCAGGAACTCAGTCCAAGACTCCCACGTGGGTGGCAGGGACCTGAGTGCTTGGGCCATCACCTGCTGCCCCCCAGGGAGTCCACGCCTTGTTCTCTGGTTTTCAGTGGCCCATGCCATCTTTTGTCTGTTCTTTTCCCTGCTGGTCTCTCCATCATCTGTCGCATCTCTCTCTGTTTCTCTACCTTTTTCCCCCTCTTGGCCACCGACTCTGTATCTCTTTCCCTTCTTCCCTCCGCCTGTGTCTCTGAATCCCAGCCTCTGGTGAATTCTCTCCTTGCCTTTTTGTGTCCCCCACTGCCCACCTCCCCCCCCAGCCCTCACCAGAGGCTGAGAATGCCTGGGGCTAAAGGCAGGGTGACAGCCAGCAGAAGCCATCGCCAGTCCCGGATCAGGTACCCGACCAGTGCCAGCAGCATCACGCCTCCCGTCCAGAAGGTGCTGCTAAGGACGCCTGCCACAATGCGGTGCTCCACATCCAGCCACTCCAGCTCTGTGCCCAGGGCCGGGGTCAGAGACAGGAAGACAGGTAGTGAGGGACAGATGGGCTCAGTCTCACCCTGACCAGTGCCTCCCTCCAGGCCTCCCCGCCCTGCCTGCCCCTTGCCTGCCTCACCCAGGGGCATCACGATGATGGTGAAGCCAGCCAGGGCTGAGCCAGTGAGCGTGCGCGTGATGGCGAACATGACATAGCTGACGGAGGCTGCGGAGGCCAGGCCCAGCACCAGGGCACTCACATAGGCCACCAGCAGCAGGCGCCGCCGCCCAAACCTGCAAAGAGCTCAACTCAGCTCAGCTCCCTGTGAAGTGGAGGTTCCAAAGCCCCGGGGCAGACCAGGCCGGTTCACCAGCCCGATGGGAGAGGATCCCCCAAGCCTGCTCCCTGATTGGCCCCACACCTCACTCCACCTGTCAGACAGGTATCCAAAGGCCACAGCCCCCACCAGCACGCCAACGAAGAAGAAGGTGGATGCAGCTCTGCTCAGATCTTTCTGCTCGCACACGAGGTCCCACTGCAAGGACAGGCGGGAAGGGGCTCCCATGGGCACCTGCTTCTCTCCAGCCACCCCCAGCCCCTCCTCTCCAGTCTCTGGGGCCTTCTACACAGACTGTACCATTCCGCAATCTCCTTGTCTGGCAGTAAATCCCCCAATCTTTGCCTTGGCTTGAGGGGTGTGAGATTTTGCCCCTCCTTGGTCCTGCAGCCTCAGCCTCTTCCAGTGGACGGCCTTGACCGTGACCACAGGAGTCCCGCCGCGCCCCCCACCCCCACGAGGATTATGTAAACCGCAGGCCTGGGGCCAGGAGAGAGGAAGAGAGGCCTCGGTTGTTTCTCCACCACCGCTTCCCCCCGGAGAGGCGCCCTTCGGAATTCTTGGCTCCAGCTCCCTGGGAGCCACTTCCCAAGTAACGGGAAGAAGAGCCTGTGTAAGGGCCTGGTGCTTTATATTCACGCACGCCATCTACACGTGGGTGAGCTGAGGCCCTTAGAGGTGACAGATGGAGACCACCCAAGGCAGTGTAGGCCCCGCCCCCACAGACGTCCCTCACCCGCGGAGCTCAAGTACCTCGGTTGCAATGGTGGAGGAGAACTCCGAGCGGTCATACTCCCAGCCCTGCGTGCAGGGCATGCTGGAGCGGTTGCCCTGCAGATCCCCAGGGCTGCGTCCCTCTCTCCCCAGGGTGATGTTGGGGACAGCCTGGGGGTGGGTGAAGCGGAGGCAGGAGCTGAACGTGCCGTCAGCCTCCCGGGGCAGATAGGCCTCCAGCCACGCATCCTGGAAGCTGAGGTTGGCAGGTGTGCCAGGCAGGGCGCAGCGGTGGGCAGGCACAGCAGCCAGGAAGACGGGCAGGAGGAAGTGCAGGGGCAGCAGAATGCGGGGCAGGGCCAGCAGGGCTAGATTCCGCAGCTGGAAGGGCCCGAAGCCGCCCACCTGCTCCAGCAGCTCCTCAAAGCCCATGCTGCCCACCCACCAAACCGTGCCTGGCGCGGGCTCCTGCTGCAGCGGCCAGCACTGCTCACCCTGCTCACCACGTGGACCCCTGGACTCTGGAAGTGCAAGCAGATGGACAGGTGAGTGGAGAGTCTGCAGCCAGAATCCAACCCCCTGGGGGCAGGCCCTCCCCAGCCCAGCCGCCCAGCTCTCCCTGGATAGCCTGTCTGGCTCAGTGCCTGGGGGAGGGGCTTCCCCCTGTTCAGAGGTCACTGACTCCTGCAGCTCTTACTGATTGGTACTCAGACCAAGTGGGGGAGCCCTGGACCACCACGATAGGGCAGCTGGGTATGTAGGTGAACCCATAATCCCCTGGTCAGCAAAGCTCCTGGGGTCCCTAAGAAGAAAGGTCCCTGGGGCGTGATGCCAGCTCTCCCTGGATGCCTTTTGCCCTGTTAGGCATTAGGTCAGCTCTGCTTGTCTGCAGCCATGGCCACAGCCTGGCCCCAAGTCTGAGGGCCGGACTCTAACCAGGTGAAGGGTTCTTCCCACTGAACACGAGGCCTCCTGCTCTCCCTAGCCAATGCCTGCAGCTGATGCCCTGGAATCGCACTGGGCAGCCTGTACCCAGACTCACTGTACCCCTGCTCTACCCAGGGGCTCTTGCCATACACAAATCCCACCTGCCCCCGCCCGCTCTTCCCAGGAGCTCCTGAGAGGACCCCTACGAAGAGTGGGGGCTGCCAAGGTCCCGTCTTATAGAAGTCGCAATGCCTGCGGCCAGCCAGTTCGCTTTGCTCACTCCGTTCCTCTCACTCAGTTTCATTCACGGCCCCCTTGTCAGAAGCGTAACAGAGAGGCCGGCGCTGTAGCGCAGCAGGTTGAGCCTCCACCTGCAACACTGGCAGCCCATATGAATCCCAGCTGTTCGAGCCCCAGCTGCTCCACTTCTGATCCAGCTCCCTGCTGTGTAGATGCTGGCAGACCACAAATGGTCGGGTTCCCGCCCTGCCCAGTGGAGACCTGGGTGGAGTTCCAACTGTTGACTTTAGCTCAGTCAGTCCCAGCCACTGTGGCCTTTTGGGGAGTAAACTGGCAGATGGAGGGGCTCTCCCTTTCTCTCTGCCACTCTGCCTTCAAATAAATACAACAGATCTTATCTATATGTATATCTGTATTTATATCTATACATATAGATATAAATAGATAGATGGGGCCGGCCAGCATTGTGTGTAGCGGGTCAAGCTGCTGCCTATGGGGCTGGCATCCCATGTGAACGCCAGTTAGCGTCCTGGCTGCTCCACTTCTGATCCAGCTCCCTGATCATGACCCTGGAAAGCAGCAGGAGGTGGCCCAAGTCCTGGGCCCTGACACCTGTGTGGGAGACCCGAATGGAGTTCTTGGTTATTGGCTTCAGCCTGGCCACCGGGGAGTGAAGCAGCATATGGAAAGTCTCTTTCTCGCTCTCTCTTTCTCTCTCTCTCCCTCTCTCTGTAACTCTGCCTCTCAAAGGAATGGGTTAAACTTTAAAAATAAAATAAAATTTCATCGATTCTGGAGACGTTTCCTATAATCAGATTTGCAGAATTAAGGAAAGGCTGCAGCCAGGGTGTTCATTTTGGCATTATTTATGGTCAGGACAAGTTGAAAAAGTCTACTGAAAAACCAGTGTGGAACTGGTTAAGCAGATCATGGGGCATTCCCGCCATGGTGTACTGCGTGCCATGAAATGGAGCACGAGGCTCCTCCCCCACTGGTGGGCCTGGAAAACAGAGTAGTCATCCTGGAAACATTTGGTGATTTCTCAAAATGTTACTCTTGGGGCTGGTGCTGTGGCATAGCGGGTAAAGCAGCCTCCTGCAGTGTCACATCCCATATGGCCTCTGGTTCGAGTCCCGGCTGCTCAACTTCCCATCCAGTTCTCTGCTGTGGCCTGGGAAAGCAGTGTAAGATGGCCCAAGTGCTTGGGCCCCTGTACCCACATGGGAGACCCAAAAGAAGCTCCTGGCTCTTGGTTTTGGATCTGTGCAGCTCTGGCTATTGTGGCCATCTGTGAAGTGAACCAATAGATGAAAGATGACTCTCTCTCTCTCTGTAGCTCTGATTTTCAAATAGATGAATAAATCTTTTTTTTTAAAAAAAGGTTACCCATTTCTGCCATATGTTGCAATAAGCCCACTCCTGGGATAGCTCCAAGAGCAATGAAAACTAACATCCAGACAAAAACTTGCACAGGAATCCTCCCAGCAGCACCGTCCGTAATGGCCTGGACTGGGAGCAGACGGACTTCCTCAGCTGGTGGACAGATGAAGGAAATGCGCTCTATCCGTGCTGTTAATAGAATATTACACTGCAACAGAAAGGAAGGAAGTTGCGATCAGGGCCACGATACGGAAGTGCCTTGAAAACACTGTGCCAAGGTAAAGAAGGCAGTCACACAAGGACCACAAGCTACATGATTTCACCTACAGGAAATGGGGCAAAGGGATCTATAGACAGCACATGCGTGGGGCCAGAGCTGAGTCCCAGTGAGCCAAGCTGCCGCCTGTGACGCTGGCGCCCTCTACAGGAGCACCTGTGCAAGTCTAGGCTGCTCTGCCTCTGATCCTGCTCCCTGCTGATGCACCCACGTGGGAGACCCGGATGGAGTCCTGGCTTTAGCCTGGCCCATCCCCAGCTGTTGCTGCTGTTTTTGGAGTGAACCAGTAGATAGAAGATCTCTCTCTCTCTCTCTCTCTCTCTCTTCATTGTCTTTCAAATCAGTAAATAAATCTTTTTTTAAAAAAATAAAGGAAAGTAGATTAGTGATTGCCTCGGGGTTGGGGGAAATCAGGGTGCCTGCTAATTGGTAGTTTTGGAAGATGAGGAAAAAAAGTTTTTAAATATTTATTTATTTATTTATTTGAGAGGCAGTAACAGAGAGAGAAAGATCTTCTATCCACTGGTTCACTCCCCAGATGGCCTCAACGGCTAGAGCTGGACTGATCCAAAGCCAGGAGCTTCTTCCAGGTCTCCCTTGCAGGTTCAGGAGCCCACACACTTGGGCCGTCTTCTACTGCTTTCTCAGGCCATATCAGGGAGCTGGATAGGAAGAGGGGCAGCTGGGACTCAAACTAGTGCCCATATGGGATGGTGTGCCGCAAGTGGAGACTTAACCTACTACGCCACAGCGCAGGCCCCATAGCTATTATTATTATTATTATTATTTTGACAGGCAGAATGGACAGTGAGAGAGAGACAAAAGTCTTCCTTTTTCTGTTGGTTCACCCCCCCAGTGGCCTCTGCGGCCAGCGCACCACACAGATCTGAAGCCAGGAGCCAGGTGCTTCTCCTGGTCTCCCATGCAGGTGCAGGGCCCAAGCACCTGGGCCATCCTCCACTGCACTCCCGGGCCACAGCAGAGAGCTGGACTGGAAGAGGAGCAACCGGGACAGAATCCGGCGCCCCAACCAGGACTAGAACCTGCTGTGCTGGCGCCGCAGGAGGAGGATTAGCCTATTGAGCCGCGGCGCTGGCCTTATTTCATGTACTTTCTTTTTTTTTTTTCTTCTTTTTTTTTTCTTTCTTTCTTTCTTTCTTTTTCTTTTTTTTTTTTTTTTTACAGGCAGAGTGGACAGTGAGAGAGAGACAGAGAGAAAGGTCTTCCTTTGCTGTTGGTTCACCCTCCAATGGCCGCCGCGGCCAATGCGCTGCAGCCGACGCACCGCGCTGATCCGAAGGCAGGAGCCAGGTGCTTCTCCTGGTCTCCCATGGGGTGCAGGGCCCAAGCACTTGGGCCATCCTCCACTGCCTTCCCTGGCCACAGCAGAGAGCTGGCCTGGAAGAGGAGCAACCGGGACAGAATCCAGCGCCCTGACCGGGACTAGAACCCAGTGTGCCGGCGCTACTAGGTGGAGGATTAGCCTATTGAGCCGCGGCGCCAGCCTTATTTCATGTACTTTCAACATTTGCCTTTTTTTTTTTTTAAGATTTTATTTATTTATTTGAGAGGTTGAGTTACAGACAGTGAGAGGGAGAGACAGAGAGAAAGGTCTTCCTTCCATTGGTTCACTCCCCAGATGGCCACAACAGCTGGAGCTGTGCCAATCCGAAGGCAGGAGCCAGCAGCTTCTTCCAGGTCTCCCATGCAAGTGAAGGGGCCCAAGGACTTGGGCCATCTTCCACTGCTTTCCAAGCCATAGCAGAGAGCTGGATCAAAGAGGAGCAGCCGGGACTCGAACCGGCCTCCATATGGGATGCTTAGCCTACTATGCAACAGCGCTGGCCCCAGAATTTGTCTTTTTACTACCAGGGTGTCCAGCTTTCAGTTAGAGGGAAGGTGAGTGCATACGGGGGCCACATCAAAGGCTGGTGCGCCGGGTGGGGGGGAGGGCACTCCAGGAGGACATGTCAGAGTGGCCTTCTCGGCAGGAGAGCAGGACTTCGGAGTCTGGACTTTCCAACCCCGCTCCCAGGGTGGCCCAGGGCCTGGCCTGAGCAGAAATTGTTTATGTATTGACCAAGTGAAGGATTCACTCCTAGTGATCCTGGAGTTCAAAATGCAAAAGGAACAGACAGCACCGCAGCACACCAAGGCCTCCTGGTCAGCCAGCACCTCCCCACCCCCTCCTGCAGGGGCCAGACCCAGATCTGACTCAGACAAGCCCGCCTTCCCACACAGCGCTGTGCCTGGAGCTTCGCACCTGCAGAGCAGCCCACAAGCCCATACAGGCAGCCACCTCCTTCCTGTCAGTCTCACCCCAGGGGTGGCGGGCCAGGCTCCCCGCACCGGCTCTAGGTGGTGGGCATTCAGATGCTTTCTGAACTCCTGCATGTGTAGATCTGAGCTGTTAGCTCTGTAGGTCCACGGTCTCCTAGCCAAACCCTTGGGCTCAGATTCACACACACACAAGGACACTTCAGAAAGTTCGCAGGGAAGGAGGGGATGTGTGGACCACATGCCTGGGTTGGAGTCGCCGCTCTGCTTCCGATCCTGCTTCCTACTCATGTGCACTCTGGGAGGCAGCAGGTGACGGCTCAAGTGCCTGGGTCCCAGCCGCCCCTTTGTGGGAGACCCGGAATGAGTTCTGGGCTCCTGGCTGTGGCCTGGCCCAACCCTGGCTGTAGCATTTGGCACTCGGGGAGTAAACCAGTGGATGGAACAATGTGTCTCTCTGCCTTTCAAATAAATAACTAAGTACATTTTTTAAAAAGTATGTGCAGAAATGGAATTTTAAAATGTCCATTTTGGCACAAAAATTGTGAAGTTGTATATATGTGGAATTTTCAAAAAAGATCATGGAAAATGCATACCAAGGCAAAACTACGCCTCCCTCCCAGCGGCCCCCTGGCGGGGCTGAGAGTGCAGCCATCAGAGGACTCACACACAGGGCAGTCCTCCTCCACCTGTGTCACCCTCAGCAAGTCACCTGTGTCCGTCTCTCCTCTCCTGCCCACCGCAGCCCTTCTCTGCCCCGCCCCTCCGAAGGAAGAAGAGTCCAGGCCGGCAGGGAGGAAGGTCCACAGGCTTTTAATGATGTGATGGCTACTTCCCTTCCAAGACCCGATCTAATCACGAAGGCGGCTTCCAGGGGTGGGGGTGGAGGTGGGGGTGGACAGGCGCGGGATGGGCAGAGGCCATGCAGTGACTGGGCGGGCTGGGGGAGGGCTGTTACATTCTGTTTGGCATGTAAACATTCTGCAGTGGCTTCCCCCCGCCCCCTCCCCCGCTGGTCCCCGGAGCTGAGAAGACTGAGCAAGCCAGCCCCCCACCCCACCCCCACCCCCGCTGCGAAGAGCTGGGAAGGGGGAGCCCCTTGCCGGGGGTGGGGGGCACAGCTCCTCTCCAGCACCCCCTTCGTGCATGGTGGAGCTGGGGCAAGGGAGGCTTGGTGGGGGTGCGCGGCCCCTGCGTCTGAGCCAGTGACATAGGCGGTGTGATGGGGGAGAGCTGGGCAGTACACGAGGCGTGTGTGTGTGTGTGTGTGTGTGTGTGTGCGCGCGCGCACGTGGGGGTGCCACTCAGAGAGGAGGGGCTCAAGACCTGGAGGTGCACGAGGAGGACAAGGCTGCAGCTGGAGGTGGCGCTGGGAGGGATGTGTCCTCTGCCCTGGGTCATCCTGGGGAGAGGAGCAGAGTCTGCCCCCTTAGCCGCTTCGCCCAACACACACTGTACCCCTGCCCCTCTCCCCTCCCCTCCCTGGTGACATTCAATGACTCAGAGGCCTGAGGTCGGTTGGGAGACCCTGGGGAGTTCCGGAATCCCAAGGACAGACTGGGTTTTGCATCTCTGCCAGCTCCGGTGCTGGGTGAGGCTGGAGGGGAGGTGGGTCGGGAGCTCTCTCGGACCCTCCTCTTCCTCCCAGCTCCAACCCCGGCCGTTGTAGGTCCTGGGGCAGAGATGAGGCTGGCGGCCCTACATTCACGGTTCGGTTGGTGGCAAGGAACAGGCCCAGGGCCTGGGCGCCAGGGGCCATGCCTGGTCCCCGCCTGGCATGAGCTGATTGTCATTCAGAGGAGCTCCAGGGGAGAGCGAGTGGTCCCCCTCTGCCCCCTCTGCTGGACCCAGAGGGCAGTAGCGGGCCTTGGGAGGGCCTCGGGTTGACAAGGAGGGCTGTGGCCAGAGAGGTTTCCTGAGTGTTCCGCGTCAGCGTGGGCCGGGCCCCTGAGCCGCTCCGCAGCTGCCCAAGCCTGCTGATCTCCGTGAGGGGCGCAGCCGGCACCACCAGCCTGTTCCCCGGCTCGTCTCTGCAGGCATCCTCTGGGTGGCAAGCGGGGACCTGTCCTCCTCTTCCTCTGGGTGTCGTGGCTGCTCTCTGTGGCTCAGGAAAGGACACAGGGGCCAGAGGCTGAGGGTGGAGGAGGCCTGTCCCACTGAGACAGGGCCGGCTGTCCCTTCTGCAGCCAGTGCGCCGCTTGCCCCAGATGTCGGCAGTTGGGGCCTCTGATGAGGTGCAGTGCGCTCTACGGGAGCCAGGACCCGAGCGGAGGCCCCACATCCACTCACGGGGCTGCACACCCGCATGGGCTGGGGTTAGGGCAAGAGGGGCCGGGGGCTTGGGCTGGGCACCATCACACTGCACACAATCTGCTGTTGGTCGGTCTGTCTGCTCCTGCTCCGTGTGCCCACCACGGGACAGGACCGAGGGGAGGACCCAGGCAGAACCCAGTCCCAGACTCTTCAAAGGGCCACCGCAGAGAAAATGACAACCAGCCACTCCCCACCCGCACTGAACTCAGGCGAGAGAGAACTGGGCTGAAACTGCGTGCGCAGGATCGAGGTTAGATGGCAGGAAGGACTTCCTGATGGTGAAGGGCCCTGCGCACTAGATCTGGGGACCAAGGGCGGGAGTGAAACCTTTCTGAAAGACCTGGTCCAACTCCCCACTGCGCAGGAAGGCAGCCCGCACACTCCCACAGCTCCACCGAGGCCCCAGCTCCCGGCGCAAGGAAGCACGCTCTCTCCCCCTAACCACCTTTCCCTCAATAATCACCTGCCCACGACCTCCCACCGTGTGCCGAGGATGGAGCTGGCTGCGGGGCGGGTCAGAGCTGCCCCCTGACACCTGAGTAGGCCCGTGGCCCCGGCCCCACCTCCCCAGAGAGCCCCACCACCACCACCAGGGACCGCGGGGACCCAGAGTTGGAGCCTCTGCTTCCGCGGTTGGAAGCTGCTTTTCTGGGAAGAGGGGGCTTTGGCTGGAAGAGGGTGCGGGGGGTGGGGTGGGGCTAAGGTGCCGCGGCGGGTGTAAGCAGAGGTCCCGGGAAAGTGGGGGGCGTGGAGAGCAGCGAGGCCTGGTGGGTGCAGCGGCGTCCGCGGTGCGAAGTGAGCCTTCCCCGGGGCGGGACGGAGGGAGCCGGCTGAGCCTACCCGGCCCGAGGGGCGGCCGGAGGGGCGGAGGGCGCGGCGAGGCCGGGAGGCGGCCCCTCCCCACGGCGCGGCTGCGCGCGCGCGCGTCCTCGCGGAGCGGGCGGGAAGCGGGGGCCGCGGGTGGCGCACGTTGGGCGCGTAAGGCTGTGCTGGGAGCGCTTCCAGTGTGGCCGGCTGCGGGTGGGGACCGGGGCGAGGGGGCCGCCGAGGGTCGCGGGCGTCATTATCTGGCCCCGGCCCGGCCCTCCGCCACCCCCGCCCGGCCTTTGGTTGTTGCGCGCTGAGTCTGCAGTTTCCCTCTGGGTCCCTTCTTGGGGCCCCCCGGGGAGGGGGTGCTGTCAGGCTGGGCTCGGGCCTGCAGGATGCCCCGGGTCGGGGCGACCCCGGGCCGGGCCTGGTGCGAGGGGGAAGGGCTCTCTTTGCGGGACAGGGACTGGCTCCGAGGGGACGCGCTGGGGTGGCGCGGGGCGGAGGCGGGAAGGCCGGGGCTGCGGGGAGCTGAGGGCCTGGCGCCGGCCTGGGCTCTTCCTGGGCCGGGGCTGCGGCCGCCGCCGCCGGCGGGGTGCTGTTTGGGGCGGATGTCAGCAGTAGCGGTTGACCCTGGGGGCTTCTGCAGCTGGAGCCTGCTTGAGGCGTGGGGGGGGGGGGGCGGGGGGCGGGAAGCAGGAGGAAAAAAGAGGCCAGAGAAACACAAAGGACAGACATCTTCAGAATCCCCCTGAGACCTGGGCCTCAAGCCCCCCCCCACCCTCAGAGCAGCCGGGACAAAGGAGACCGGGGCACAGATGGGTAAACTGAGGCCTGGTGCCCCACCCCCAAGGCAGGACCTCCTGGGGCAACCCTCTCCCAGGCTGAAGAGGCTGGACGAGCCTGTTCCAGGCTTGCTTTGAGGATCCTGCTTCCTTGCAAAACGATTTTGCATTGTAATCTATAATACACCTGTGTCTCTATCAACATGAGATGGCGTTTTCTTGGAACTCTTCAGAGCTCTGGATTTTATGCTTTGGCTTGGGAGGACTCATGGCATCCCAGAGGCCATGTGGGGACCCCACTTCCGCAAGCCTGGTGTCCCCAGTGCCCTCTCCCCACCCCCAGCCCCGACATGCTAATGGTAGCAGCCCCTGGAGCCCAGTGACAGGACTAGGACCTGAGTCACGTGGGAGAGAGCAGAGTTGGGCCTTGTGGTCTGGTGGAAGCCTCTGGTCACCCCTGCCCACCCTGGGGGCGGCCATGGTTTCTCACCTGCTGGTGATGGCTGTGTCAGACGCTGGGGCCGCGCCGTGGGGTCTGCTGGGGGTCTGCTGGGCTGTGGCGGGCACGGGCATGCGGATGTTGATGGGGCGGGGAATCCGACTCCGGGTGGCAGCTGCCCGCCCAGCCTTCCTGGGCAGGGCGGCAGTGGGCTCCGAGGCCGGCGTGTCCTCCTCGGAGCCCGTACCCGAGAGCGTCTCGGAGGCACGGCGCTGCTCCTCGCTGGAGGAGGACGAGGCCCCTGAGGCCAGCCGCAGCAGCAGGTGGCCCTGCCTCTTCTCCATCACCAGCCGCGCCAGGTCCTGCTGCGGCCGGGCCCTCTTGCTCCACCGCTCTTTGGCCGACAGCGAGCCCGAGGGCTCCGAGCCCGTGTCCTCCTCAGACAGCAGGACAGGGATTCGGCTCCTGGGGCGAGGGCCCGGCACGGCGTGGCGGCTGGGAGAGACGGTGGCCACTCTCTCCGGGCCTGGCTCCAGCGGGGACACGGGAGCTGGCCCTTCGACAGGGGCCGGGCCGTTGGGCAGTGAGTCTGTGGCCACCTCTGAGCGGGTTTCCCCAGGGGGGCCAGACAGGAGGCAGCTCTGCACCTCGGTCCCGTGCAGCCCTGGCCCGGCGATGCCATTCTCCAGGGGCACTGGGGGCCCCTCCTCCAGAGCGCCCCCACCCGCAGGCACCTCCACACCCAGCTCCCCCCCAGCGCTGAACTCCTCGGGCCGAGAGCTCTGTCCGCCGGAGCACATGACGTTGAGGTGGGTTTTCTCTGCAATGTGTACGAAAGTCCTCTCGACTTTGGTGAAGGGTGAGGAGGTGACTGCCACACCCCCTGCCCCTACAGTCACCGTCCCAGCCCCAGGCCCTGCCCCGGGCCCAGGGGGCTTGGCCTCAGACTTGAGGACAGAGGACAGAGTGCCCGGCTCAGACACGTCCAGCTGGCTGCCGGTGGGCAGGGGCCGCTCGTGCTGAGGCGTGAGGGCAGCCAGGGTGCCCAGGTCAGGGTCCGGGGCCAGCTCGGCTGTGACGGGCGACTTCTTCAAGTCACCAGGGGAGACAAGCACCAGCGTTTTGGAGCCCTCCTCTGGCTCCAGGTCCCCGTCAGCCATGGAGGCCCGGCCTCTGGACTCCCTCTGATCGTCGGCCAGCAGCGTGGACGGGGCACCCTCCTGGCTGCGGTCCGTGCTCCTCTCGCTGCCTTCGCTGCTGGAGCCACTGCGCGGCCCCAGCTCCTCCCCCAGGCCCACCGCCTCTTCCTCCTCCTCTTCCTCTTCCTCCTCCTCTTCCTCCTCCTCCTCCTCTTCCTCTTCCTCCTCCTCCTCCTCTTCTTCCTCTTCTTCCTCTTCCTCCTCCTCCTCCTCTTCCTCTTCCTCCTCCCCATTGGCCTGAGGCTGAACAGGGGCCAGCGGGACCTGGGGGGCGGTGAGCAGCATGTGCGAGAAGCCCACCCTCCGGACCCTGTTGAGCAACCGTGCCCGTTCTCGGTAGTCGGAGAGGTCTCTCTTGAAATCCTGGTAGGGCAGGCTCAGAGGCACAGCTCGGGGGAGGCCGTTCACCTCGAACGTGGACGCCACGAACACCTGCAAGGGCACACACAGGGACCGCTGAGACCACCCACGCTCTGGGGCCTGAGAAGACCCCCACCACTCCCACAGCTGGGAGCCCACACGGCTCCGGAGTGCCTCGGGCCTAGTGCTCAGACAACCCCTGATGCACCACGGTGGCCACCCCAAGGTCCCAGGCCAGGACTCGGGAGGCTTCTCTGTCTCCCTGCTCTCTCCCGTTAAGCTTCTCCTCCCCTCACCGTGTGTATCCTGAGCCCAGAGTCAGCCAAGAGCAGGACACGGAAACTGGGAGCCCGCGCGGCCCCCATCGAGGTTGGCCGAGAGAGGGGTGGCCAGTGTCCTGCGGTGGGCTGGCCCACAGGTGGCCCGCCCTTGCTGGCACCTCCCAAGGCACCATGGTAGGGCTGTCCTGCATCCTCTGGATGTGCAGGCTGGGCCCCTGCAACTCCAACACCCTTCCTTCCTGCCCAGCGGCCACCTGCCAGCCAGGAAGCTGTCCAGCCCCACACGCATTACTTAACTTTAAGCCTTCCTCCTTGACAATGCGATGGCCACACCCATTCTTGCTTTTCCCGACACCCCCTCCCCTCCTGTCACCTCCTCCCTTAGCCTCCTTCACCTGGCCGGACCACCTGACCAGGGCCTCAGGTGCTGAATCCCCTTCACCGTCTTGGTCCCTTCTCCGGCTCTGCCCTATTCGATCCACAAACACCCCTAGGCACCCACAATGCATGGCCCATCGGGCGGAGGGGGCCACGTGCCTCGGCGGGATGGGGCCAACCGTGTCTAGCACTTTGTTAGCCTTTGGGGACACCCTGGAACCTCCACCCTCGCCCATGCTCTCCACCAAGCATTCCAGGGCTACTAAGCGGTTCCCACATTTATCACGGATCTCACTGTTGGCCAGGGCTGCCTGGGGTCTCCCTCATCCCCACTGCTCACATGATAAATTCCTACGCTTCCTGCAAGACAAGCTGCTCTTTGCCAAATTCTGCTTCTCCACCTGGTTCTCTCTTCTGTGAACAGAACCCCTAGAGTGCTTTTTCATTCGCTTGTCTTTTGTTCTTTCACTCACTCAAGCAAGAAGTAGTCCTTGCACGCTGTTATCCTGGCTACAATGTGATTGGCTAGGAATCTGGAGAGTGCTGAACCAGACGGACAGGTCCTTGTCTCTGAGGGAGTGCAGTGGAGCCAGGCATGCCCCACCGAGGCCAGGATCACGAGTGAGCGAGGAGGGGCCTGCACGTGGCTCCCGCCACCCTCACCTCCTACTCCCTGCTTGCTCACCCTGGCTTGCAGATCATCGGCCGCCACCTCCCCACCCATCCACCCAAACCACAGAAAAGCCTGGATGCCACTCCAGGGGGCCACAGGGTAGGGGACAGGGAGGGGCTCCACGGACTCAGGCTGGCCAGGGCAAGGCAAGACTAGCTCATCAGAGCCCAGGGGAGGACCTGGTGGGGATGGCCATGAGGCAGGCAGGCAGGCCCTCGGCGGATCCCAGCTGCCCTGTTGGAACCGTGCAGGGAATTCCTTAGACCTCTGTCCCTCTGCATCCAGGTGGGCGTCCCCTTTTCCTATGCCGTCCATTCATTGAGGTTCATCTGCTCCTGCCTGTAGCAGACTCTAGGCAGGGCCAAAGTGTGTACCAGGCCTTGCCGAGTCCAGCTACTAAGGCTAAAGGCTGGAGACAGTGGCTGGGCAGAGAAAGAACTGTGAGCCCTGGGTGAGTGGGGACCAGGGAGCAGGTGCAGACAGAGGGCACCTCTCCTGTCCACCTCAGCACTCACCTCCCCAGCACGGGGCACATCTCTCACGGGGCAGGACTGCCTCTGACAGCACCAGGTCACCTTCCCTCTGGAGAACCTCTACCTGGCTCCCCTGTCTGCCTCCCCACACCTTGAGCATTCCTGCCAGAACCAGCCAGACCCTAGATCCCTGTCCCACAGTGCCCGCTGTGGATGATGGGACCCTCTCCCCCGCCATCTCAAAGCCCTCCACCCCTAGCGCCCAGAGAGAGAATGGGAGCTGAGCTCCTAGTCGTGAGAACAGACTGAGAAGCAAGGCCTGGGGAGAGGCACAGCCTTGGCCCCTGGCCCTGGGCTGCCCGGTTTCCTCACCAGCCCCCCATGCTGTGTTCCCTTGTGGGCAACCTCAGACCCTTCGGGAGGGCTCTGTCCTCAGGGGCACTGCGACCCCCACACCAGCCTTGGCGGGCTGGGCTTTCAAAGTCCCTCTGCCCCTCTCCCACCTGGGTCTGAGTCCAGGAGAGGCAAGGGGGAGGAGTTCCCCCCGCTTCAGACCGCAGCCTGAGCCTTACCCTGCGTCTCTTGGCTGCCCAGTGGCTGCCCAGTGGGTCGTCCACCCACCCACCCATTGGATCAGTCGTCAGTAGCCCTGCATGCTTCCCTCCGAGGTCTGAGAGTACACCGTGGCCCAGCGCCACCTCTGAGGCTCACCGGGTGCCAGCAGGGGGCTGCGGTGGCCTGGTCAAGCTCCCAACCGTGCGCACCTTTTATGTTCCCAGCAGCAGCTGGGGTGCTTCTTGAAAGGGCAGAGCCCTGGCTCTCATCTCCCAGCTCCCAGAAACCTGGCCGCTTTAAAGCTCCCTCATTATAAAGACAAAGCGGAGGGCGATAGCCCCAGGGATTTAAACGGGAGTGTGCAAAAGGCAGAAGCAAAAGGGCTGCAGCACAGGGGGAGCAGAGAGAGTGCCCAGCGCTGTGCCCACCCCCACCCCTCCCCCTCCACTGAGCCCAGGCCAGAGGCAGAAGTGAAGGGAGGGGACAGAGCAGACTCTGACTGTCCCCCGCTGCTACCAACACTGGGCTCTCAGCCTTGGGACCAGGTTGCTCCATGTCCGCAGCCCGGGTGCCCACACAGGGTACACACACCAACTCTTGTCTGGACCCTGGCCAAGCCTAGACACAGGGCACTGCGCAGCCACCCACAGTCCCAAGGTCGGAGAGGGAGGCTGAGAGACAAAAGCTGGAGGGTGGGGCTTGGCACTACCCCTCCCTCACGGGCGGGCAGGAGCTCTGTGCCTCCCCAGCAGTGCCCCTCCTCCTCCTCCTCCCCCTCCCCTTCCCTCAGAAACTGCCTGGTGCACACGTCCCCGGCCTCACCCCCAGCCACGTGCTCGCTCACTACCTACGTGGGCTGTGGGGCTGTGGACTGGAGCCTCCATCAGCGCTTCTGCCCCCAGCGCACTTGCCCGCGCCGTTACCTGTCTTGGTCTGCCTGGTCTCCAGGCTCACACATCTCTGCTTCTCAGCCCACACCGGGAAGGGCACTGCCTGCTGCCGCCCTGGGTCCTCGCAGCCCTCACACGTCACCCCAGAATCCCAGTGTTCCTGACTATCCACGGCCGCAAGCCCCAGGGCAGGGCTCAGATGGCGGGGAGCAGGTCTTCTAACCGCCCCTGCGTGGGGTTGGGTAGGGGTTGACCGCCTGCCCTTCTTTTCCCCTATACTTGCTTTAGGCCCGAAGGGAAAAGTCCTCCCACTTTGGCAGAGCCTGTGTGGTGGGCCGGGGGCACACAGAGCCCTCCCTTCCCCCTTTCTGCTGACTGAGACGTTGCTACAATTCCTTCCTTCTTCACCTGCCACTCACTCTTCCTCTGCCTTCACCCCGCTATGCATCCCTGGGCCCTGCACAGCCCAGGAGCTGGCTCACAGCCTGTAACCTGGGCTTTCCTCCCCTCTCAAACTCCGGCTTCCAGAGCCTGACTCCATAGAAAGAGATCCCCCACCCCTAACTCTCCACTCCCCGTCACAGGCAATCTGGAATTGGGTCCCAGAGACCCCAGTGCACACTTGGAGGTCTTCCCCCACAAAGTCCAAGCAGGCCCAAACCTCCTGGGGTCTGGCGGAGCTGATCTGTTCACCTGAAATGCCACTCCCCTCCAGCCCGGAGTCAGCAGCAGGCTGGCCCCTGCCCTCCGTCCAGCCAGGCCACCACACAGCGCAGCTCGGGTTGGGGAGGGTGAAAGAAAGCAGGCAGAGGCACGCATTCCTGGAAGGCGTCTTTAATCAGGATTTGGTAGTACACAAGCTCTCCGGATTGTCTGCATTAACATACAGGGACTTAAAAAGGCACAAGATCCCTGGCACAGCGACGCGTGACGGTGGGGCGCCCCGCCCCTGCCCGAGCGCGGCCGTGTGCGCGCGGGTGCGTGTCCGTGTCCCACCCCCGTGGCGGCGCCGCGCGTGTGCGTGTCGGTTTCAAGTGTTGGATTTGTACAGTACTCGCAGTCTAGGGGCGGGGGGCTCAGTGCATGCTCTTCTACCCATCCCGGGGCCCCCATCGCCGCTATGTACACTAAGGAGGACGCACCCCGGAGAAAGAGAGAGACAGAGAGAGAGAGAGAGAGAGAGAGGAAGAAACGAAAAGCGTCCCATCTTCCTGTGTGTGGTTTTGAGTTTTCCGTGCATGCTGAGGCTGGCGGGGTCGGGGGATAGTGCAAGCATATGATACAGTATTATTGCAGTACAAAAGGGGCGCGGGGGTCCACGGCGGCAGGGGCGGCTCAGGAATACACCGGGAGGGTCCCCCTTCCCCTCCCTAGCGCTCCCCCACTTCGGTTAGGGAGAAAACACCAGGGTCTCTGGAGGGAGGGGCTCAGCCGGGCCGCGTTCGAGGGGCAGGGGCCAGCCCCTCTCCTCGTTCAATACTGCCGACTCTGAGGGCCCGGAGCCCAGCCCCCCACCCCCGCCGCGGAAACCCCTCCCAGTGGGGGGCAGAGGTCGACGGAGCAAGTGCAAAGGAAGCAGATGTTGGTCCCTGAGTTTTATTTTCGGGGGTGGGGGTGGGAGGAGAGAGTTGGGAGTAAGGGCATGTTTGGGGACCCCCAGGGCCCTTAGTGATGGAGCGGGACGGGGACGCAGACGGGCGCGGGCTAAAAGGGGGTGTTGGGTGGCTCTGAGACCCGGGCTCAAAGCCTCGCTCCCCCTCCGCTCTGGGCTCTTTGGCATCCAATTGCAAGGCCAATTATGGGGGGGGGGGCAGCCCCGTGG